TTTTATAGCTCTTTATGAATTTGATTCGACTTATTCTATTCCTATTCTCTGTGAGGTACGGTTGTGCACCAAATGCACAATAAAGCATAAAATAAAAAAACAGACATAAGGAAAAAATGTATTAAAACCAAAAGTGGACATCATGATACTACCAGATATACGCGTAGCATTATACATTGCAAATGAACGTTGTCAGCCTAGGGAGTTTTCTATATTAATGCATTTATTAGTGATACTTGCACTTACCCATTTCATTACACTTTATTGATTCACCTTAGCACTTTTACTTTTCTAAAAACAGCTTTCAATCCGTTGTAAACGTTGTACTTACCTCAATATTGGTTGGTTATCGTATGCCGACAACCACGGGATGAAAACGAAACGAAGTCGATTTTCCCGCTCAACCTGGAGGACAATTGTACAATTCAATAACTATACAGCCTAGTTCAGACAATGTGTATTTATATATATATCAAATATTTAACTGTTGAAACATTATTAACTTGTAGACAATCTACGATTTGATATTATATCATACTTGATCGTGCCTGTAAAAATGGCATGCATTTTCATGTAAATTTATATGTTTATATGAGAATATATATATTATTCAACTGAGGCAGAATGAGTGACAAGCGATTTCAGTGGTAATTGGTAATGAGTAGATAAGAGGATGTGCGTAGAGTATCGTGAGGTGCTGCTATGGTCACGTTGCATTCTGCAAGAGTCATTCTAGCAAGTGGCGGTTGTGTTGCAAGAGGATGCCTTTAACTGGAAGGCGTAGGTCGTCATCGATGTGTGAGATTGTGCTGTGGGTATGCTTGTGGTGTGTTGGCTTTTCTGTTTGTTTTCCATTTCAGCTTTGTCCGTGTGACTCAGGTTCTCGCAATGGCATCCAAGTCAACGTGTATTGGTCGTGAAGGAAAAAAGGGTTGGATCCCTTTTTTGCCGGGGAGTGTCAATGTAGTTGAAGACTGAACGATCAGTTCGTGGTTCATGGATAATCCCCATCCAGGCATTAATGAAAACAAAATACGTAGATCAGCGAAGAGTCTCTATTCGGCGAATTCATTTTTTTAGCTGTATAATCGCAAATATATATGCATTGTTTTGTATGTATGTGTACATTAAGTTACTACCCTAGCACTTAATTGTCTTGACTTTTATTACGAAGCTTTGCCTGTTTAGTCAAAATAACCTTAAGCAATTATAATTCTCGTATTCACTTAGATAATTTCGTATTATCTACTTTGTTTCTATGTGCATCCTGAGTGAAACTCACTATTATTATTACAACTGTTTGTGACAACTCATCACCTTTGTTACTACCCTAGTTTCATTAACACTTAATTTTTTGACCTGTATTACCAACTTTCACTTGTTTTGTTAAAAGTAACCTTAACCAATTGTGATTTTGTTTGACAAACTTAATGTACACATACATACAAAACAATGCATATGTATTTGCGATTGTACAGCTGAGAAAATGAATTCGCCGAAAGGAGACTCTTCGCTGATCTACGTGTTTTGTTTTCAATTCGTGGTTGTTTGCTCAAACCCAACTTCCCCAATTTTCGCGGAGGCATCAATACGACAGTCATCGTCTCATCTGTCGCCGTTCAGAAAGAAGTCAGCAGAAAACCGTTAGAAGTAATATTGTGATTTATTATTATAATATTTGTTCACAGACCTTAATTGTAACAGTGTTTATATGTTGGTGTTACAATAAAGAATCCTCGAGTCGCCAGTTGGTGTTTTGGGTTTTGCGTCCGTTATTACTAAGCGTTTCTGAGAAATTTCAAGCGATGGCGTGAGTCCGAGTGTAGCCAGAGCTGTGCATTAACGGTTTATGAGAAGTGGCTGCCACAAACATTGTCGCGCCTATCTAACGGGAATGGGATTTGGATAAACAAGTTCATTGAATAACGACTCAGCTTCCGCAGCCATTGAAAAACCCCCTCCTTGTTTTTGGTTTACGTTTTAACTAGTCTTCTTCTGTGCTTTCTTGGGGGAGGTGTTCAAAGACGAAATCAGCCTTCTGCAATAATAGAAGATGTTGGTCGGCATTTCATGTAACGATTTTTATTGAAGTGATGGTTTTTGAAGTGGTGTAATTTCGAGGGAAACTTTGGTTATCCTGTCGATAACACCGTGTGAGTCTTTGCACTACTTCTCAGACTACGTGCTTGCATCTGCGACATTTCATGCTCCTTATAGCATACGCTTTACCGGCATTTGAGGATAAGTTGGACACAGCGCAAAGTTATTTTCACGGTTGTTTCTGAAAAGTCTGCTACGAAGGCATTTGAATCCGAGATTAAGTCGTGACAATAAACAAGGCCCAACATGCTTTCGCCACGAGGTGGGTATCTGGACGAATTGCTTCCATCCACGGTTGTCAACGGTATCAAATATTTCACCGAAACATTGGGGGCCGCATTCACCCATCTGATCCATTCCTGTAAAATTAAAGACTCCTGAAATTAATTTGAAACTGTTTCTGGCCGGGCAGTCGGACAGAAGTCATTCAAATATTAATGCACCAATCTCGAAGGTTGCTGAAGGGGCCCAATGAGCTCAGTCTACTAGGTTTCGGTATTTTTTGACGATCTGAACTGATCCAGAGTGAATCCAGCATTGCACGCAAAAATTTACTGAAGATGAATGTAGATGTAGATGAATTAGGATGACTTCAACGTAATTGTAGTCCGAATTTACACTGCAGAAGGTGTAAATTTCCATGCCAAAATGTACCTTTCAAGATGGAAGGCATATATGAAACCAGTTAGTTAGGCTGCTCTAACAGCTTCGAATTCGCTCCCAGTTAGCTTCAACTAGAAACAGCGTTCACTAATGTTATGTGGCCACCCACCTGCTATACCTCAGCTTTGGCCACACTACCCGCTGACTCCTTGCCCTGGCCCATCCAACCTGGTAGCCATACCGTTCCTAAAGCCCCCAAACTAGTGACACGACTGCTTGAGGGTGTGTTTGCTAAAGATAAGGTGTTCTTGTCCTATGGGATATAGCTGCAAACCATGAGTTTCAGTCCCCACAGCCAAAAACAGGTCACGGCTAAGGTTTGATTGATCTAATGAACTCCCTTGATCCCTTACATTACTCCCCCAACAGCATCAATTTCTGTTGATTCAGTTCACTAAAGGAAGTAATAATAATAATATATATTCTCATTTTTTACATGAGGGACGCCAGTTTACAGGCATCATCAATTCGATAAGTTACACATAATATTAGTAAGCATATTTAGTAAAGATAATATAATAAGGTACATTTTTTCCCTAGCTATGTAGGGTACATCAATTGTATAGGCATGCATAAATATTGTTTTAATAATAATAATATATTCCTTCCTGTTTATGCAGGAACATACCTATTGTACAGGCATGGATAAGTTGTTATATAAATTGCACATGATTTGATGTATAATGGATTTACAGTTTGGTTGTTCTTTCTGTCATTAGAGTCAGTCGGAAAAGCCTGCTATAAAGTCTGTTTGTGTAGCACATAAAGAGATATAGAGATATTGTCTTCGCATTAACAAAAAACCCAGACATCAGATGAATGTAATACAGATATCTGGGAAAAATAAAGCTTGAAGTCAATTCTTCTATATAACTTTGTTTTTAACAACACCCTTGGCTTAAAGATTATTGATGTATTATGTTGAGATCAGTGATAATTGAACGTAGAAGGTTCTTGTGGGACAGGTGAAATTTGTTACATATTGTTGTTCTAAAAAGGGAAGTAGAATACCAGAAATTCTCCATAAGATGGAGTTCATTCCTTGTAGACATATGGCAGTATTTATTGAATGAAAAAATCGACAATAAGCTCAGCGTTTAGGGAAAGTGGCGAATAGATAGTCTGACACAATTTTGTAGGATACAAAGGTGAAAAAAATTCCTGCTGCCATGAAGATGACCTAATACTCCAAGGGTCACATCGTTATCATGGAGGTAATTCGCTTTTTTCACATTTTCCCGCTTCGAAGGCCAAGTAGGAAGACTCTAAAGAAGCTGGAGAAAGACCAAAATTCAGGTCCAGCACTCAGAAACTGATCTCAGAAATTACGAAAGGAAGAATAAACGAGATTTGGTAAAGCCGTGGGAACTGATACAACAGCGAAGGAAGATCAAACAAAATGTGAACTGGGATTTCGGTAAACAACAAGCAAGTTCAACGCAGAACGCACTGCACGAAGAACTGGTGAAGACAATTCCATGGACATCTAAGGGAGAACACCCCGTGGAAAAGTGAAACTTCAAATCACCAAACTAGATGACCAGTTCGCTACCTGCGGCGATAACAACTCAGACAAAATCAGTGAAAATATAGAAAGAAACCTAGTTATCAGTGAGAAGAAGCGAAGGTAGCAATGAGTGGTAATTTCAAACAAGTCTTGAACTGGCCACCAACTGCAACTATTCAAAAAATACCAGATTTTCCAGTGGACAACAATCCTTAGAAAGATTCGAAATCTTGAATGCCACGTTTCCTATTCAGTTCATGGCATTTCAATCATGCGGTGTTTAGGAAATAGGAAGGATTACTAAACTGCATACTGAACCAGCAATTCGTCCTTGAAAGTACCGGAAAGTTAGACTTTTACGCTACATGGGGAAAAAGCATGGACTTGGACGGACTCTTGTGAAACGTTTGGGTACATCGACTTCAGAACGATCAGTAAGTTTTTCTGTTATCTAATTATTTATTATCAGGGAGACACACTGTCGGGACTTATAATGATTCTGATTGGTCTCGTTTACCCGTCTATTCCGTCACTGAACAAACAGGTCTGGACGAGTTTTTCAGCATTGCTAAACTTGCCAACCAGGAATTTAAAGCTGGTAAGATCTATTGGAAAAACCCAATTTGTCTTAGAGAAGAAAAATATCAGGTTGCTGAGTGATTCTGAGGTAATTGGGATTCAAAGTGCAGCTGACCGTTTGAAAATCTCTGAAGTCCAAAAGCAGTATAAACAGTGTCTCAAAATACCCAGAAGTTAAGTACTTAGTTTTGCTTTCATGAATTTGTAATCGGCTCCTGTTGGTATGTGGCTGGCATATCTGACTGCTTTTAGAAATGAATGTTTTCATATCAGTCGGATGTTTTTGTCGGTTTGAACTCAGATGTTTCTTTGCAGATGAATAACTTCATAGTAAATAGCAAACCGAGTTGTGCTGTATTTCGAAGGGGTTAATCCAGTAATTAGTACGAAAAATTTTTAGTCGTATCCTATAAAGTAGCATAAATGTTGTATGTCACTCGCATCAGTTTTCGACCGAAAGAATCACCAATCGGACTTCTAATTACTGAATTCTGTATCGGTCTTATGATTTCCGATAGAAGACTGCAGTAGTCACAAAAAGAAGAAAAATAAACAATGGGCCCTACACAGTTGACAGTGCATTTTGACATATATAACTTCTTTTGACACTGACTGATTGTATTACTGCTATATTGGTAGGGCGTGCATATTCCTTTTCAATAGGTAACTCTGAGAATTAATAGTTTTCGTAAGCGACTGTTTTAACTTTGTGTCTTGTTAAATGCTGAAACTTTTATTGTTATTCACTATATGCGTCCACTGGACTTGATATAATGCACTTGGTCGTAAGTAGTGTTGAAATACTTTTATTTCATCTACTATCTTGTCAGTATGATTTGATTCATCGAGGTCGGGTAGGAGTCATGCTGACTATCGTTTAAAACGTTATTTGGAATTTCAGGTACATGAAATTATCCAGTGTTATGTTGTGATGCGATGTTATTAAGTATTCTCTAGTGAATGACTACTGAAAGCTGAACTCTACTTGCGTCACTTTGCTGGAATGCTAAATATCTTCTGTCACAATTTAAGTATGCCAAGTGACAGATAGCTACAGTTGTAGTCGCGAGATTTAAATTTAGCATGCAATTTCACTAGTTTAACATTCAAGCGAAACCGATTTTATTCAGGGCTTCGCTGAATGATTTGCAGATGCTTAAATAAAGCTTTAGAAAAACGTATTTCAGTGTTCTGTTGTGTTTAATCTTTTATAGGCCAAAATGGAGTATAGATATGTCAGCTGATGTGTTGGATAATCTTGAAAAAGAGGAATTTTTGAACTGGAGACGATCTTTAGCTTTGTGAGTTTTTTTAATCAAGATAGCCGTTAGTTAAATGAGCTTTTATTCTTGAGCAGTCAATATTGTAAATTTAGCTGCTCACACCAAGTATCAACTCGTTTTTCGAAAGAAATCATTGTTTGGGTTGAATGGCATCTTTTGCTTTAAAGTTTGTGATCGATGTTCCAAGGACATATTTAAATTTAAAGCCGCCACTAATCTTTCAAAGGGAGCATATCATGCTAACTAACATTAAAGAGGAGACAAATAAAAAATATGGTTCAAACCTGTAAAAGGAATAAGTACATGAGAAAATAGACTTTTAGAATTCAAAATAGCAATATGCAAGTTCAAAGACAATCTAAATAATGATGCATAAGTTTACTCATCGTGTGTAAGAGCTATCCTGAAACATTCAGTTCTAGAATATTCGGTAAAAGTACAAACAAAATCACAGTGTACGTCAACCCTTGTAAAAGGTCAAGTTATCTTTCGTTTATACCTCCATTTTTCTCGAATTTGAGTGTATAGAATATATAATTGTTTATAGGATATGTTTCCTTCAAAATAAATGCTGGGATAATTAATCATGAAAGAGCTTCACTTTGACTTTCTATATACGTGTAACATACGTGGTACTGTACATGTTATAATATCAAGAGAACTTCCGTTTTGTCTCAGTTGTTCACAAGACTGACGGACTGGTTTCAACGTAGAACTTTGCACAGATGTGCAACAGTTCGAGTTGCCATACTATTTAGCACGCAAAGCAAGAGAAGAGAGTAAAGAGAGATTTAAAAGAAATAACAAACAGAAGTGTGAGTTAAAAAGAATAGTATTGTGGAAGAAGACGTAAGTAGTACTGTGCCCAAGGTGAATTTAAAGTTATCCCGATAAAAGTAATGGGACAAAAGATATCTTAACTTTAACCCTTCAGATAGACATTTGCTATAATAAATAAAAGCGCATATGTGCAAATTTGTTTCACCTTCATCATAGTTAGCACAGCACACGTTTCTACTAGTGGCCAATAAATTTACAAATGTAAAATTTCTTGTGGAAATAAATGATCAATAATTTATTTTACGTAGTCACTGACATTGTAAATCCCAGTTTATACTCAGTTTGCGTTAATGCTCAGTGGTTTTGTGTGCGTATATGTTCATTTCATTGTTGTTGACCACTTACTCAACCATTTGGTTTTTGTATATGGAAGTGAATTATTTCGTTTTTTATTTGTACTTTGACAAAAAGGTAATCTGATTGTTTGTTAAGTGAATTTTTTACCTTTACCCCTATAGGTTAGAAGAAAAAGAGGGCATAACTCTTACTCCTTTTGAACGAAATTTAGAATTTTGGCGTCAGTTATGGCGTGTTGTTGAACGCAGTGATGTAGTTGTACAAGTGATCGATGCACGACAACCACTTTTATATTACTGTGAAGATTTAGAGAAATATATACGTGAAGTGGATCCAAACAAAACATCTGTGGTACTTGTGAATAAGTCTGATTTCCTTACTGAACAACAACGGTGAGTTTTTAATGACAGTAATAATAATATAGCATATACACTGAAATTGTGCTACTGAAAATGATACAACAACAAAATTAAGCAGCGACAAACGAAGTATTTACAAATTAAGAAAATAAAGGCATTGTCGTAGGATGCACGCATAGGATCCTTTATTTACTATGTCCTTTCTTGATAGTAGTAAGGAATTTACATTATTATCGACATTTCCTACGATTTTAAGCCACATTTGTTAACGCCTCGAGTCACTGAGTCTCTTGGTTTTTTGGACCCTACCTAGGCAACGGTAATTTACTAACAAATGTAACCCAGCTATTCTTTGCCTCCACAGCTTGCAAACAATGAGCCTTATTGAAGTCTTTTAAATAACGCGTTAACATGTGTTGAAGACAGTAGCTGTTCCGAGATTATATACATTTTCTACCTTGTCTTTTTGTGTACATTTGAAGCCCAAAATTACTTAAATAATGTTACCGTGAGATTCAGGCTGTCTTACGGAGAAAGTGACCATGAAACATGCAGTTTCTTATCGTCTTCATTTTCTCAGGAGTTGAGTAGAACTGTATGCATTTAAGCACTGTACATTCCATTCTTAATGGCTAAACTAACTTCGCAGCAATGCTACTAAGGGTTCAGATTGTTCACTACTGTTCTAGCTTTCTGTAGGGATTAAAACACGTTGGTTATGTATCTAGTGATCATTTAACACAGTTACTTGAAATTGCCATGATCTCTTTATTTTTATGGTTTGAAAAATCTATTTTATTTTTTATTTTTGATTACAGCTTGATTCCACACTATATTTTTGGTACAAGTATGGAATTTTCAGCATGGATATTGGTAGCCCAAACTTTGCAGGCCGACCATAGATATCAGGTGTGCGTCGGCAGGGGATCGAACGTCGTCCATGTGCATGGTCGGCGAGAGTCCTAACCACTGTACCATCTGTGTCTTATCGTAGTGCGGTGTTATATTGGTCGAATTAGTCCGACTTTCCTTACTGATACGTATTGGTCCAGTCACTGTAAAGTCCACTGTTCACTCAACACCCGGAAATATAACACTCGTGCAAAGTCAATGTATTGTACGAAAGTTTTCCTTGTACTAGCTAGTAATGTTTTTTGATATCCAGCATGTTTAGAATGAGTCTAAACCATATTACCTACGAATCAAAAGTTTTCAACAATAGATTTATTCAAATGATGCAAATTCCTCCTTCATTTAGAGCTAGAATTTTTATTCTTAGCCAAAATCAGTTAGTCACATTTCGATGTTAACTCTATCCATATAGTGTTTCCAACAAGAACTTATGTAGACAAATGGGTAAAATGATCATTATATGCATTAGTGGCACAGTGGTTAGAACGCTCACCGACCATGCCTATGGTCCGGGGTTCTATCCCCGGCCGACTCACACCCGATGTCATTGGTCGGCCTGCTATATTTGGGCTACCAATATCACATGCTAAAAATTCCATACTTGTGCCAATATACTGTGTGGAATCAAGCTATAATAAATAAAACAAAATAAATAAATAACTTCTACATCAAAATAAATATTCAATCGGGTCTTGTCGATAATTTCTGTGAACATCTAGTTTAGGATTCCTGTTTCGTTACGTTTTTATCTGTATCTTCCGCAAATGAATTTGACAATAAAACTGTAGCTTTTGGGCTTAAAGAACTAATTATCAGCAACTGAGTGAATAATTCGAAGCTACTTCACCTACTTTGACCTGTCTGTCTGTCTGTTTTCGACATAGAACTTTGCACATATATGCGGAAGTTTGAGTCGCCACACTCCCTCCTTGTAGCACACAAAGCAAAAGAAAGTAGAAGAAATGCATAATAGAGACAGTAAACAGAGGTGTGAGACAAAGGAATAGTAGTAACGAAGAACAAAACAGTTTCATTGGAAATCATAAGTCACAAGGAGTGGATGCATCTGCGTTAGCCATTGAGAATGATTTTGAGCCATATCACCAATTGTTTTCAACCATTGGTTTTTACCGTTCCAAGGATCCCAACCAGGAAGTCTATACCTTCCTATGTGGGTTATACTAACTATTGTGGATTTCATTGACTGGTGAGGCCATGTTTTGGTTTGACCACTGCTAGCTCTTTTCCAGCCTGACCGTATATCAGCTAACATTGCCCGTCGAGGAAGGTGATGACTAGGCATATATAACACATGTCCTAACCATCTCAGTCGATGTAGCTTCACAGACTCGTCGATTGATTTCCCCTCCTTACCTAGAACTCGACCGAGGCCTAACCTGAATATTTCTTACTTATTATACCACTTCACACGGGAGATAGAACGGAGACACCTATGATCAAAGACAGCTAATCTTTTCATGTCTTCCACCCTCAATGGCCAGGTCTCATTGTGACCTCAGTAACCAATAAAACTAGCGGCATAAATTCTGTTATATTTCTGTCTAGTACTGTCTTTTTTCTAATTAAACACAGCTTCGGAAATTAAGGAAATTATATAAATTAAAAATACTGTATTATTCTCGAAATTTTGAGTAGAATTAACACTTATGGTCCACTTGCTGGTGTATTTTTAGTTCTTCCACAAGCCGCAACTTCACTGTAGAAAAAAGCAGAATGTTCAGATTCTGATAGATGTGGCCTCCAAAGCCTCAGGATGGTCGGGGGTGGGTGTCTTGCGCTGCGGGTTGGCCACCCCTCCGCACACCTCTTGAAATGCTCCCATATGACCGGGCGTCTTACATAGCCTCTCCTGTGGAAGTCCTACTCACTGCCTTCACGTGGTGGAGGTGTTTTTTCACCGAAGTGAGGGCGAAAGCGGATGCCCGGCGCTCTTCACCGGGTTGACTGTGCATTAGATGACATTCTAGGGGAGATGGCTAAACCCTGATTCCAAACCTCCAACGACTGGCGTATGAAGCTCACTGGAGCTCACCGGCAGACGTATGGACAAAGGGCTTGTTGGATGTCCTGGATGTCTGGCCCCATTCAGAAAGGCGTATGAACCGGACTCCGGTCACCGGCTGCCAATGGATAGTGGACTCCCTACTCCACTCCTACTGCCTTGTAGGTCACACTTGGTTGTGTAAAGGCTAGAGCTGCATTCTCAAACAAAAGGCTGAGCGATCCTGGGGACATCACTCGTACTAAATTCCCATGAAACTTCATGAACTCTCTTGTTCATGAAGCCGGCTCATCCTCCCGTAGGAGATAGCCGAAGTAAAGTAAAGTAAGTAAAAGATAGATGTGGCACTAGTTCAAAACCAACTCAAATAGAGTTACTATTCCACCTTATGAAAGTGTCATTCTAGGATGTATATAAAACTAGGGCAGATTTCACTCTTACTTATATTGCTCTATATTTTACTTTTATGAGAATTGTAATGTGTAGTAGCCGGTTTCTTTCGTTTGTCAGTATTTATAGATAACATTGCAATGACGATAAGATGTCATATGAACTTTGTGTATTCTAATCTTTATGCTTTTATGTGTTTATTTATTTTAATTCAGTTCTGTATGGGCACAGTATTTCAATACCAATGGTATTAATGCAATATTTTGGTCCGCTACACTAGCCAGTGAACAAGCACTCGGGAAAGGTGTTAATAATAAATCCCAGTCCAATGCTGAACAAGAGGAGAAAAGTGATGAGGTCAGTGAAGAATGTGAAGATGATTCTATAGAGGATTCAACAGATTCAGATACTTACAGTGAGGCGAGTACAGTAACCCTTTCTGGAAACATCAGTAATGAACAGGATGTTTGTCCTGTTCAGTGTTCACAACAACCATCAGATAAGCTGAACTGCAATGTATCCACCGTTTCCAGTAGTGTAAATAATGCAGAAACATCCATTGAATCTAATTCAGAAGTTACAGCTTGTCCTGTAGATTCAGCGGCTAACGTTGCAACATGCAGTCCAACTCAGTAAGTCCTGTGCAGTAATGTAACAGTTTGTTGTCATTATGATTCTTATAATTCGTTTTGCTATTCTGTCGTTAGTTATTACCTCCAGGCTTTCAAAGTGTTTTTATTAACTATTTGATTAGTTGTTGAACATAATGCTAGGCACTCGGGATCGTGTGACAAAACCTTCTTGTGTCTGGGCAGAAAATGGGTCGATAAAACTTCACAAGAAGTTATCTTCAAAATATTGTCCAGTAAACAATAGTAATAATATACTAATTAAACAAGCTATTAAATACAGTAATGTTGAGGTTTACTCTACTGTCATCTCCAAGCTCTACACCTGTATAAGATTAGAGAGTTATTTCAACAATTATCTATGGAAAAAGCCGTTCGTAGTGGAAAGCTGTCTCTGTTAAGGTTAACGGATGCAAAATCATCTAACTGTCTGAATTATTTATTCAGTCTTAGATCGCATGTTTCGAAAAAACTGTTTTCTTTCGAATTAATGTTTTGATAAAGTAACTAGCGACAAAGTCATTGGAACACAACTTCCTACTCACGTTGCTACTATGATGATTTTTTTCGCCTTCTTTCTGAGCGTGGGGATGGGACTCATGAGCTCTTAACTTTCATCCAGTGGCCCCAAGTTTTAATTTGATTAAAATTTTTTAGATTCGTTTTAAAAGACTACTCTTGTATACTATTTTATTTATTTGGAAGAAGATTCTTACCACAGTTTCTCCTCTTGGAAAGAAAGAGTCATTAAAAGTGAAGGGACAGAAGTTTTAGTTGTTTTATCGTAGTTCGAGACTTTGCGAAAATGATATAGATGGAATCTAGGTTTGTTATTATCTAGGTCTAAATGAACATCTTACTATTCGTTCAATAACTTCGAATCTGACTGCCATTACTGGTAAATATTGTCGTCAAATAAGCCAACTTTGTGTTTACCAATAATTTCAAGTTACACTCTTGAAGTTTCAGTGGTATTCAATGTCCTTCTGGGTCACTTTAGTTATGTGCAAAGAAAGTTACTTCTGGATAATATTGACAGATGTTTACACTATTCCACAAAGTATGGGTTATCACTTACGTGATTCCCACGATATTATATAGCAATGAAAACAGTAGTTCTCTGGAATTTTCTCTTTCTAACCTACTGTTTGCTTGATCATCTGGTATAATTTTGAAGGTGAAATTATATTTTTGTAGCCTTAAGGAGATGGGAACCGAAGTTAAAGCCAACATTCGAGTTTCACATCTTTCAATAACCAGACTAGTGTGGCACCAGCTGAATTCTTAGGATATCTTGGTTTCGGTAGATGATAGTGTGTTAATATGACAACTGATTGGGATAATTTATACAAACATCAGTGGAGAGTTTAAGGGTTCGATTAACGCATGATGTACACTTGGTCATCAGCTCGTGTAAAATGGTTAAAAGAAGCTGTAAGGTATTGTTGCCACTCTTTTTTATAGTTCATATTTGTTCTTAGCCCTATTCCTTGTCAGTAGTGAAGTATTTCAGTTATTCCTTCATTTGATTCTGCAGACATTTTGATGAATTAACAAATTAGGAAGTAATTTGATGATGCAGGCCCTAGGGAGGTGGAACCTTTATAGGAAACGGCCAGTGGGGGGGGGTCCGAGGGTAACATGGAAGAAGTTATGTGAGGAGGAGATGAAATGTTACTCAACAGCCAATTACAACTCCGTGCAGTTGGGGTAATAAGTCACACGTATTGTGTGAGGGTTAGTGATACTATCTGGTTCGTCAAAAGTCGGTAGGGGGAGAGGGCTTTGAACCTATGACCCTGTGGTTGGAAGTCGAGCCGCCTGGAACAATAAGTAAGCTACGGCTTCATAATCACTAATTAGTACTACCTCACTGTTTTGTGCTAGATGCATGAAATAAGTTAACCTATCTTTGAATTCAGTTTGTAATGCTTCTCAAATAACAGTCTAGTTAAAGTCGTGGTCCGAGTGGTATAGTGGAAAACGCCTTGGCATTTTAAGCCAAAGGTGCCGGGTTCGGGTCTCGGTGGAAACACTGTCACTCACTGGAGACTCCAGGTGCATCCAGCTGACGAGCCTAAAATAGGACGATTTGTGCATCATGGATTTGACTGCTAGTCAGCATCCACCAAATAACATTTCAACCCTCGGTCATTATCAAATCATTCGCACTAGGAGCCTACATGTCAACAGTACCCAAACATTCCGGTTCAGTCAGTCAACTGGAAAAATAATATAAAATTAGTTAAAGTCTATTCTCTCTGCCTAACCTCCTTTTCTACTTTCTATTAATTAATCTCAAACATTTTAGTGGTGAAGTTAATTCAAAGCTTGTCGGAGTTGAAGAATTATTGGATCTACTCACACAAAAATACAGGCCATCAAATTATCAGTCGAAAAATCCTTTAACTGTTGGTTTTATTGGTTATCCAAATGTTGGAAAGTCAAGTACACTCAATGCAATATTAGGTCATAAAAAGGTTTCAGTATCAGTCACACCTGGGAAAACGAAACATTTTCAGGTACGGTTTGTTTCGTTGATTTATACTGGCTAACATTGATCACAATTTATTGCGTTTGTTTTACTTTTTTGGTACAGTGTACTCTAATCAGTTATCGGAGGGGTAATCAGCTTCATACCATTGTCTTCCTTACTGATAAAGAAATCCCACTGGGTTTGTAATGTATGTTAAATGCATGTGTAGTGTGTCATATAGTAGGAGGTGACTATAGGAAACCTAATATACACTAACTGGCCAATGAATTGTAACTCCCTGGCTGATAACTGCTCCTTTAACATGGTGGTTACGCCTGCATACTGCAGTGACTCAATAAGCTACACTGACTAAAACTTATTTTCCTGCAGGTCCTATCATGCCAGGAAGGTTGTTTGGGTAGTGGTTAGACTAAAAGCAATTACTATAGGGAACATGGGCTCCAGAATCCAAACGGATCGAATGGTGTTTGAATCTTTATTGGTCACTGGCAACCATGGAGACGTAGCTTCTGATGCTGCTTGGCTGCCTTGTGGATTAGACTCCAAGTCAAGGGCTCAGGGGTGGTCCTTTAAGACAACCCCACCTAATTCGCTCTGGGCGCCTGGGCAGTATCCAAGCCCTCACACTAATAATGAAGTGATACAAAAAACTATTAGCAGCTGTAAAAAGTGTCATGTATCCGACTGAATTCTATCAAACAATTCTGAAAAGTCGTCTTCCAGCTTTGAAATTCTCTGTCGGAATGCATAGTTGGAGCCGTTCGGCCCACAAGCCCTGCCTTGTATCCTTTACTTCTTCAAATAAACCATGCACACATTTTGTTCATTCCTTTGCGTCCCGAGCAGAACATAGACCCTCATGCCATGAAGTATCTGCCGCACTTGTGTTATTTTCTTACAAGGTGAGGTTTCTAGCCTCACGTCTCTCTTTTCTGGCCTTACCATTAGCTGGTGGACTAATTGAGGTTTTGGGGCTAGTAAACAATGCATGAGTGATTGCGAATTCAATTTTAAGACTGATCATATATTCACTATGTTCTCTTCAGGAGTTATGCGCTATGTGTTGATAAAATCTTCATATCCCTGTCATAGGCAGTAAGTGGAGACGTGGTTCATCGGTTTGACTACTAGACTGTCGGTCAGTGGGTTTTGCGTTCGAGTTCTTCCTCATTTGTTCCAGTCTAGGAAAATAGGTGATATTATCAACCCTCACTCACAATAAATGTGGCTCATAGCCTGGAACATGAAAGATCTTTCCTCAGAACTGAATCCAACCATGGGTAGTAAAGCTTTAATAGGGAAGTTCAAATGATCCTCACATTTGCTCTAATTAACTGTAGGATGTTATATGTAATGTGCAGAATTATTCCAACTAGAGTATATTCTCTATACTATTTTCTTTTTCAAATTCCTAGACTATATATGTTCGATCGGATCTAATACTTTGTGATTGTCCAGGATTGGTTATGCCATCATTTGCTTATTCAAAAGCAGATTTAATTGTCGCTGGGATATTGTCCATAGATGAAATGCGGGATTATTTAGCGCCCATTGGTTTAGTGAGTTTTGCTGTTTTAATAAATCCCTGTTCTTTTTATTTATTATGATAAATTTGTATACCATACTTTAACTAGTACCTGGTATTGTGAGTAGTAGTTACAAATTCATTCTAGACACTTTCTTCTCGAAATCAAAGCTCTCCCTTAGTAATATATTGCGTATATGCAACCAAAATCTGCTACAGTTGGAGAGATAGAGAATGCATTAGTTTGATATGTCTATAACCACTTCTATGAGAATCTGGGACCAGTTTTTGCAGCATATTAGAGGCATATACCCTGTATGATTCATTTTTATTACATATATATCGTAGATGCACACTTCTTTGTAAATTAAGTACCACTTTTCACCTAGAAGAATCTGATTGGTCAAATCAAGGTCATTTGACTTTGGCGTTTATTCTTTACTGTTGCCAGTTTCACTTTAATAACAGTCTACTTTGACGGCCATTTATTCAGATTTAACTGTAAAACAACATTTTTCTGTAATCTCTACTCCGTCATACTTTCATTCAGTCGCCTAAACGAATTCAGGCTTTTCTTAGAGTAACTCGTGTATTTAGGACGTTTTCTCTTCTTATTTGTCAACCAATTTATACTTAGTTCACTTTTTCACATTATTTTAGGTTTGTGAAAGAATACCACGTGATGTATTAGAAATCATGTATGGAATTAATCTGCCTAAATGTCAAGATTCACAATTGGAGAATAAGTCAAGTCGAACTTTGACACCACATGAATTATTAGCTGCTCATGCCTGTTAGTTTTATCGTTTTATTTGCATTATCAAAGTATGAAATTTTAATCAGTCAAGTCAGAAATCTGTCTCATCTACCTTTTCCCGAGTTGTGTGTGTTTTTTTATATTAGATTATGTATTTTCTTTTATCCCTTTACTTTGTGAACGGAATATAGGGCTTCAAGCTACAGCTCTAAAGTTTCAGTAGCAGTGGGGGGGGGGTTGCTAGCCTGACACCCAACCTTCCCTCTTTACCAGCCTTACTAGCAGTGGCTTAGCGAGTTTTCGGAGTGCATCGGTCAAGGATCGAACACCGGATCACATGCGTGGTTAGTGGGTGTTTTACCGCTGAACTACCGGTGCACAGATTATGTAAGGTAACCAATTTTCAACTGAGTGATGTTCACACAATGTTGGTGAAGGTGGTTTTGAGTTGATTAGGTTGTCTGAGCTGAGTCGAACTGGCGTACACCACTAATAATAAGTGGTCTGGTGTTTAGACTACTTTGGTTTGACTAACAAGCATTACTGTTTGATGTAAGTGGTATCTAACTCTAATCATCTGTCTGTCTGTCTGTTTTCGACATAGAACTTTGCACAAATGTGCGGAAGTTCAAGTCGCCACATTCCGTGTAGCACGCGAAGCAAGAGAAGAAAGTACAAGAAAAGCATAATAGAAACAGTGATCAGAGGTGTGAGACAAAGGAGTAATAAAGAAAAACAAAACAGTTTCATTGAAGATCATAAGTCACAGGGAGTGGATGCATCTGCGCTGGCCACTGAGAACGGTTTTGAGCCATGTCCCCAATTGTTTCCAACCATAGATTTTTACCGTCCCGAGGACCCCAGCCTGGAAGTCTACACCTTCCTACGTTGGTGGCTTAAACTAACTGTTGTGGATTTCATTGACTGGTACCAAGTTTTTGTTCGACCGCCGCTAGCTTTTTTCCAGCCTGACCCTATATCCGCAAACATTGCTCGTCGAGGGAGGCGATGGCTTGGCATACGTAACACATGTCCTAACCATCTCAGTCTTTGTAGCTTCACGACTTCGTCGATTGATTTCCCCTGTTTACCAAGAACTCTACGCCTAACCTCAATGTTGCTCACCTTATTATGCCACTTTACACGGGAAATAGAACGCAGGCACCTATGATCAAAGACAGCTAGTCTTTTCATGTCTTCCACTCTCAGTGGCCAGGTCTCACATCTGGCCGTAAAGGAGGACGGAGCGGACTGATGAGCAGTACACCCGCCCTTTGGTCGATAGTCGAACATCTCGTCTACGCCAGAGTCGGCGTAAACTAACAAATGCGAAACGAGCCCCTTGTAACTCTAATCATATCAATTAAGCAGTTGTGTATGGCGTCATGCATTTAAGCTTGCTTTCGTGATTACCATTTACGGTATCAAGTAGATCATATGCATTGTGATCTGAATAATTTCGGTTTCCAAAGAAAACTGCGCAAGTTGCAAATCACGAATTAATTTGCAAATAACCGATCTAATTTTTTGGTAAAAGTAGTTGAAACAAGAAAGCTTAACAGGTAGCAAGTTTTATACGTAATGACCCCCGTATTTTTTACAGAGCTACTGCCTCCTCCCTATTTTGCTTAACTATATATTTCTACTCCGTATTGAGTTATCATTCAAGCTATTGACCGTATTTCAAACGTTATCGATAGTTTTCTACCCACGCTAGAGACTTATGAGCTACAGTAGTTAGGATCTTGTGAGGAGGAGGCGATCATGTGTCTGACTTTGTCGATCAATGATACAGGGAGGAAATGAGTGAGGGTGTTTTTATCCCATTGGTGTAGGCGCTCAACTTTCAGTCATTCAACCACGGGTTTGTACCGTTGCGCCTACTAAGTTCTAAGCAGCTGGCTGGCTTGCTCTACGTGTGAATCTTTGCATATCATTAAATTTGAAAAAGAGGGCTGAAATAGGATAGAGGGTATATAAGTTTGTTTAATTTTTTTAGATATGCGACCTGGCCCTGGTCTCTTTTCCTCAAAATGTCCTCATGTAGGGTTTCTTTTATAGTCTATCCCAGGCAAATCGTATTCAATGCTACAGGGATGTTTCATTAGAAAAATGAAACAATAAGTGCGAGTGACCGGCATTCAGCACTAAACTGTTGGGCATGGACGATTCATCTAGGCGAGTTGAAAATCCCTGATTCTAGACCATCATGTACAGTAGTAACGAATGATGAATTTTAATGTGTTTTGATCGCACATAACTATGGGAAGACAGCTTTCGATACTGCTCTTCCGCCTTGTTGGCAAGACATTGAACCAAAAGTTCGGAGGACGGGGGAGGCAGTAGGTCTTTAAGACGTCTACTAAGTTTGCGCTTCTGGACACTAACTCATTCTTCTCACAAAATATGCAACCGCCATTTTATTTTGCAACTTACCCGAATGTATTTCTCAGTGATGAAGTTGACCATCTAATTTCTAAAAATATAAACTGAATGGTTTCATCAAATTTAATTACTTTAACAATCATTTCAATTTTATCATTGTGAAAGTTTTGATTTTTCAGCTATGACGTGTGAACACCAAGATTTCACCGAAAGAAATTCTGTTTCCGTTGATTTCATTCTCATAGCTGTAGAATCGAATTCCAATATATTATTTACAATAGACAATAATAAGTAGTTTTGATTGGACACTAGTAACTAGTGTGATGTATCTAGTGTCCTTTCTTTGATGCAGACTGAATTCTGTCAGTCAGGTTTGCAATGTGACCACCATTCTAGGTAGCTCGTCATCATGGTGCACATTAATTTGATGATATTAAATGGTTGAAAGCAATTGGCAGGAAACCATGGACCTAGGTTTCGTGCTGGTTGGTACTCGTCAGCAAGGCGTATCTGCACCAAAGAAAGGACTAGACGCAGTACACTAGTTACTTACTAGTGTCCAATCGAAGTATCCACTATAGTCCAACAGGAGGGGTCAATCGCGAGTCCGAATAGCTAAGTAGTAACGTCTCTAACACGGGTTCGAATCTCAAAGGGGTGGAATATGAGTTCCTTCAAGGTTGCAGATACGCCTTCCTGAGTGGTGAGTGCCAACTAGCACGAAACCTAGATTGAAGGCTTCCTGTGGCCGATTGCCTTCATCATATAATATCAACAACTAGTAGTTTTGTTGTGTGTGTGTGTGGTAGTAGAAATTAGGATGATGTTATTAGAAGACAGAGTTAAAGTCAGCAAGCCATTTTACCAATTAATTTGTGGGAGAATAACACATCGATAGGACTGAGTGTAATGGGGGGTTGTCAACTTTATCAATCTTGGGTAATCTATAGGTGTTTGGAAGGTCAGATCTCACAGTTTTCAGAGAATTGAACTCCTCTTCCTCAATGTTGTCCATGTTGGATAAGATGTTACTTTCTCTTTTAAATTTTTGATATCATCAGATAGGACATCCTCTAAGACCTTACTTTTATCATCAAGAATGGATATCATTTTTGTTTTATAATCACATCCACTTACAGCCACACCTGATCCTTTGTACGGTTTCAAGATAATGATGTTAGGTATACTAAATTATAATAATATATCAAGTGTAAATGATTATGAATCACAGATTGATCGGAGATATGAATGAGTGAATAAAGGAAGATCAATAAACGTGAGAAAATAGATGAAAGGTAGATTAAATACACCTTGGCAAATGCTAATCTGATATGTTCAAATGCAATAAGATGAGAAAATATTTATTTAAACACAAAATGTTTGGTACAGTATTCAACCAAGAAGATGCGCCACACAATAATAGTAAGACAACATAGATTAAAAGAAAAAATACAGGTGGAGAACGGATAAAGAACTTCATTTGAAAGAAAAACAGTCATATTTAACAAGTTCAAACAGCATTTACCAAACTATCGTCGGGAAGGGAAGAAAGAAGGAAATCGCAGCCGGTTTTTCGTCATTGGTTACGATTCTTGGCCATATCCGATAGCGTTTCGAGCAATCGATTCGAGCTATCTGTCGGACTCCAACGAGGGAGTCTTGACGCACCAACTGATGCTGACTTAACACAGATATCCTTCCTCCCACGACGCCACGTCATGGACTGACCACCCCTCCGCTTTTTCCATCTCGTCCCAGGGCTAGCGAACAAAGACCTGTACGGAAGCCTTTGGGATGACATTCGTAGCACATGTCCAAGCCACCGAAGCCGGTGTTTCTAGACGACGACACTCAGTGAATGGTGATCTCCGCCTTTTCCAAACACGCCGCCGAACCTCAGTATTACTCACGTTATGATTCCACCGAACGCAGGCGATCCTGCGGAGATAGCGATGATCGAATACACAGATCTACCGCACATCCTCAGCCCGGAGAGGCTAGGTTTCACAGGCCTAGAGCAAGACAGCCTACACCGAAGCAATGTGCACACGACCTTTGACAACCAGACTAACGTCGCGACGGCGCCAGAGGTGGCTCAAGTTAACGTATACCACCCTAGATTTCATGATACTGTTAGAAATCTCATCCGTCACCCCTTCGCCAACACCCATACTTTCCAATGTTCTTACCAGACCTTCCTGTTGTCCGATTTGTACCATTGTGCAAACATTGTAGGTGACCAGCTTGAACGTGGCATGCGGTCTTAGGATATCTGTGTTAGGTGTCGTACTGCGGACAACCATTTTGAAGGCTACTCACCGGCATCTCGAAACGGCACAGATAGGCTGGGAATTGAGACAAAAGTGAAAGGCTGACGAAAATGAAGACGTCAAGGTTAGCAAAAGTAAAATACAGGAGTCTGTGTATAAAAATAAAACTAAGGTTGGAAAGAGAAGCATTGTTAAGAGCGTGCAATAGGTTTCACTGACAGTTTGTTGTTTCATTTCATTGATTGTGTGTGGGCTGAGGTACTGCCCGGGGACCCAGAGCGAAGCAGGTGGGGTTGTCTTAAGGGACCATTCGCCGAGCTTTTGACTTGGATTCTAATTCACAAGGCAGCTGAGCAGCGTCAGGAGCTACGTTCCTATGGTTGCCGGTGACCAATACAGGTTCATACGCCATTTGATCCTTTTGGATTCTGGAGCCTATGTACTCCATAGTAACTGCTTTTAGTCTAATTGCTATCCAGACAACCTTCCTGGAATGATAGGACTTGCAGGAACATGAGTCCCAGCCAGTATAGCTTGTTGAGTCACTGCAGGATGCACGCCCGACCACCATCACATCATAAGGTAGCAGTTGTGAAGTGTTGTCAATAAAAAAGAATAAATAAAATATTGGAATGTGATAGCATAAAGAGAAATAAGGCAAAACAAAATGGAATAATGTACTTGTGTGTCCGTCCCTTTTGGCAAACTTTGTCAACCCTTTTGTATTTCTAATTCTTTCTTTTACTAACTTAATGACTTATTTTGTTTCCTCTCTTAAAAAATATTTTAGCATTTTTAATTGTTTCTACTTTTCTTCTCTATTTAATTCTTTCTGTATTGTAGTTATGCATGGCTTTATGACAGCTAAAGGTAATCCAAATTATGATCGTTCAGCAAGGCTTATATTAAAAGATTATGTAAAGGTAAGATGAATACGGTGTTGTTTTTTATTCTTCAGTGTTTACGATGAGGTGAATTTTTCAAAACTATTGTTATTATTATTCCCGTTGGGTTCCGAGTGGAATGTGTAGGGCTTCAGAAGCACATCTTGATTTTACCCTGTTCTCTGTAGTCTGTTTTTAGCTGGCTTTACGATTACCCATGGGCTTTCACTTCCTCCTCGCCATACAACCTCCTCTATGTCCAACTTCCATTTTCTGTTTTGGGTTACACTTCAGGGCCTGATGAGGGGGGACGTCCCTCGATGGTCTCCTCAGTGTATGTCTCATCTGTTTCTATTTCCCTATGCTTATTTGTTGGGGAATTGGTTCTTGGCTGGTTCGTTGTTTATCCTTCTGGCTGGCTATCTAATCTTCAGAATGGAGCGAAGGCAGCTGTTGATCAAGGTCTGCAGCAGCTTGTTGAGAATGCTTTTGGTGATGCACCAAATCTCTGACCTGTATAGAAGCACTCACTGACTTGACATTATTGTGCCGATTTTATTCCTTATACTGAGTGCACTAGACTATCGCACAGATTAAAGAGTAATGAACACCTATCTTGATTTCCTGAACCGATCCTAGTTGGCTTTGACATCCTTTCTGTACTGCCTACAGTTTCATATTGCTCAAATATCCAATTATGTTTCATGTGTGAGCTGTTTAAACACGAAGGGGTATATTCACTAAGATACTCTAACACATGAAAATTTCTCCCTTGTCAGGTGGGAGGAATCCGATGTCAGGAAAGATATTCATCTACAGGACTCAATAATGTTTATCATATTGTTTAATGATTGAAGCATTAAATTCTGATAAGTTACTTACTTTTCCCAGGAAGTGAAAGGTCTGACGCTGAGCATTACTTCAGAGTTCAAAAATATTGTGGATTTTAAAGGTAGTTGTCTTTATCAGTAGTTAGAACTCAGTTGATAACGATGGAGTACCGGAGAGTAGGTTCTTCTTCGTCCTGGTCATGGACTCTGCAGTGATATGCACCCATGATCCCATTGAGAATGAGACCAAGGACTTCCGGGTTACAAAGGACCTCTCTGACCATTCCTCTAACTTCTGTCAATTCGCGATTTGTCGTACCACATGGATACACATCATGGGTGTGTACTGATGAAGAGTCTCAAAACAAGATGAAACAGTTATATCCAGTACTGCCTGGTGTCCAATGACCCTCCCTTTCTAACTGATGTCAGTTGGTGATCTAACTTGAAACCGATCAAAGCCCTGTAAACTAACAATTGAAAATATTTTTTTTAATGTTACATTCTAGTCCATTTCTGTTTTATAGGTTAAGTTGTTTAAGATATAAATATGTAATGAGATAGACGTGATTTCTTGTTGTATCAAGTTGTCAGTTAATTCTGAAGCATAAGTCTTACTTATATTTATGAGAACAAAGCACGTAATAGTCCAGTGAAGAGTCTCTTAACGGCGAATTCATTCACTTGCTTGTACCAACACAATTATATACAGTCATTTTTATATGCATGTATGTGTGTGTACATTAGATTTGTCAGACACCAATAAACGTAGATGAAATTTTCTCCATTTGTAACAATAGTTGCGACCCAATAAATCGCTACAAATATTTAACAACTGCAATCCAACTAACTGCACTCTAGAAATGAAATGATAGGGAATCAACAAAACGACCCAACATAACCTTAAAAAGATCAGTTCATAAAAACTCACTTGGAATAATCAACTATCAAGTTTATACAGTTGGGTGCCTGTTGAACGACAGCGAAATCTAATCAAATCTCTTGCCACTCTGATCCGGCGTATCTGTAGTCCTGACACCCTGGAAGCAGAACTGCATCTTCTGAAAAAAAACCTCCCTCCAAAATGGATACCCACCAAGATTCATCGATAGGAATATCAAACCAAAAGTCCAGAGAAACGAGACATTACTTGTTTTCAAAAAAAAGAAACTTCACATGAACCAAGATTTCAAAGGAGATAGCCTTTGATATTTCCGCAGCAATGCTAAAAGTAGTGTTTTCCAGTCGTCCATTGGTCTGCAGCAGCCTTAAGGGCATGGTATCGCAACTAACCACTTCTATGTGCATGTATCAGTTCATCTGTTGTTGTAGTGCCAGGTCCATCAGCATGCATGTATGCATGCAAAATGGTATTAGTGACTCTCTGAGGGGTGCGATAATCGAATACCATGTCAACATTGGCCATTCCATCTCAATAAACGCCTCCTTCGAAGTAATCTACAGAGTGAAGAATAACCTACCAAAGGCAATACTCTTTTGTTTCTTTTGCATTGCTGGAGCCTTAACCATTCAATTGGAGAATAAAAGAAAATTACTCAACCGCGTCTACTATCATGACAACAATCCTGTTGATTCCTACTGGCTTGATGTTTGTGTGCTTGCCTTTCTGACTCCTCGTATTTCTTTTGCAGCTCTTGCATAATTCCATAATTTCCTTCGTTTCTATTTACATCCTTATCAAAACTCATTCACTAAATTATTCATCTTATTACGTAGCTATAATACACTTATTCGGCTTCTTGTATGCATCTGTCTGTGTGTCTGTCTGTTTTCGACATAGAACTTTGCACATATGTGAGGCTGTTCAAGTCGCCACACTCCCTCCTTGTAGCACACAAAGCAAGAGAAGAAAGTAGAAGAAATGCATAATAGAGACAGTAAACAGAGGTGTGAGACAAAGGAATAGTAGTAACGAAGAACAAAACAGTTTCATTGGAAATCATAAGTCACAAGGAGTGGATGCATCTGCGTTAGTCATTGAGAATGATTTTGAGCCATATCACCAATTGTTTTCAACCATTGGTTTTTACCGTTCCAAGGATCCCAACCAGGAAGTCTATACCTTCCTATGTGGGTTATACTAACTATTGTGGATTTCATTGACTGGTGAGGCCATGTTTTGGTTTGACCACTGCTAGCTCTTTTCCAGCCTGACCGTATATCAGCTAACATTGCCCGTCGAGGAAGGTGATGACTAGGCATATATAACACATGTCCTAACCATCTCAGTCGATGTAGCGTCACAGACTCGTCGATTGATTTCCCCTCCTTACCTAGAACTCGACGAGGCCTAACCTGAATATTTCTTACTTATTATACCACTTCACACGGGAGATAGAACGGAGGCACCTATGATCGAAGACAACTAATCTTTTCATGTCTTCTACTCTCAGTGGCCAGGTCTCACATCTGGCCGTAAAGGAGGACGGAGCGGACTGATGAGCAGTACACCCGCCCTTTGGTCGATAGTCGGTTATCTCGTCTATGCCAGAGACGGCGTAAACTGGCATATGCGAAACTAGCCCTCTGTATCCGTGCTGAGATTTCATCAGAGATCAACGCGTTGGCATTGGCTGATGGTACTTCCCAAATAAGTGAATCGGTCAACGTGCTCTACCACTTCATTCCCTATTTTTAATCTAGGAGTTGGTGTAGTCCAGTCCTGTAACATCATCTTGCATTTGGCGGAAGCGGATCGCATGCCAGACATTCGTAGATTGCAGCTTAAGGTGTTTAGAAGACTGCATTTTGTCAGCGTCCTCGCCTAGAAGGACTATATCGTCTGCATATTCTAAGTCGACGAGATTATTCCCTAGTAGCAAGTCAATCCCCGAGTCACTGAAGTGAGTTAGGGTTAAGTCCATTAGTACATCTATGATGAGGTTGAATAGAAAAGGGGATAATGGGCATCCTTGACGGACACCACTAGTCGTCACCACTTCAGATGAAAACTCGCCGTAAGCCCTCACCTGGCTGCATGAGCACGAGTAGAGTGCCTTAATCAGTGCAATGTATTTTCTCGGAATTCCCTTTACAGCCAAGCATCTCCAGAGAACTTCTCGGTCGACAGAATCGAATTCCGCTTTTAGGTCAAGGAATATAATGATTGTTGGGCGCCGGTAGGAATACCTATGTTCTAGAATCTGTCGGAGGGTGAAGATATGATCAATACACCCTCTTCCTGGTCTAAAGCCTGCCTGGCTCTCTCGTGTTTGTGCCTCCCGAGCACCACTTAGTCTACGCATGATTATTGAGCCTAAGACTTTAGATACTATATTAGTCAAGCTAATCCCTCTGTGATTATCACAGGAAGACTTGTCTCCCTTCTTGTATATGGGGATAATCAGTGACTTACACCAACCCGATGGGACTTCTTCTGATTCCCAGACGCTGCCTAGTACCTCAGTTAATGCAGACAGTAAACTGTCTCCACCGTACTTAAATACCTCTGGAGTCATTCCATCAGGTCCCGCTGCTTTGCCTAGTTTCAGATTGGTGACAGCTTTAGTAACCTCAGTTAGTGACGGAGGACCTGTGTCTATATCCCATTCAGGGAGGTGTTGGATGTTCGGAAGGTTGAGCGTGGCTGTGGGCAAATTAAACTGCTCCTCATAATGCTCTTTCCAACGATCCAGTCGTCTATCCTGGGAGCTAATTATAGTGCCATTTTTTTCCGAGATTGTCTCACTAATGATTTGTCTTCTCCCACCCGTTTCCCTGATGAGTCCAAAGAGTTGCCTGGTGTTGCCTATCCTCAAAGCTTTCTCCATCTCTTTCGCTTTTGTCGCCCACCACTGTTCACGGTCCTTGCGGAGACTTTTCGTAAGTTTCCTCTTGTGCAGCTTTCGCTCCTCATTGAATTCGAAGCTCGCCGGAATAAGTCTTCTAGCATCTATCAGTTCGGATGAGGCAGTCGACCTTTGGGTTTACCTTATTCACAGCTTTTACAGCTGTATCTATGGCTGCCTGGATATTTTTCCAAGCTTCTTCAGGGTGAGCACAGCTGTCGAACACAGATATGTGTTTAGCTAGTTCTTCCTCAAATACGGATTTAGTTTCCTGATCGAGCTGGGGACGTGATGGTTTTACCGCCAGCTGTTTCCTACGTCCGTTCAGTCGTAAGCACACCCGAGCGCGGACCAGTGCGTGGTCGGTATCTACACACGTGTTCCAGAAGGAGCGACAATCTCCTACCGACCCACGCCAACGATAGCTTATTGCTATGTGGTCTATTTGTGTCCAGCGTTGGTTTGATGATGGGGGTCTCCAAGTCAAACAGTGTCTCTCCTTGTGTTTGAAGTTAGTGCTTACAAGAAACAAATGATTATCAGAGCAGAACTGTAGGAGACGGTCACCGTTGTCGGTTCACTGGCACGGAACTCCATAGGTGCCACCGACATCCTTCTCAGATTGACACAATTTCCCTACTTGAGCATTAAAGTCACCAGCTAGAACGACTATATCTGAGCGTTTAGCCTTTTGCATAGCCCTTATGCATCGACTATTATTACCAACTATGCTTTTGTTTTCAAAACTCATCAACACTATCCTCTTACTAATCTGCACCCTCCCCTAGTTAAAATTTGATTATACATCACATTTTTCGAAATATTTTTATAACGTAAACAATAACTCTAATTTTATTCCCATCTGACAAACCTAATGTACGCACACACATGTAAAAAAATGATTATATATAGTTATGATTGTACAGCTAAGTGAATGAATTCGCTAAAAGAGGCTCTTCAATGAATCACTACGTGTTTTGTTTTCACTAATTTCTAGATGAGAATTATTCATAAATTGCTTATATTTTTTCTTCAATTATTTAGGGTAAACTCTTATACTGTTATCCACCTCCAAATGTCACTGATCCTGTTGCATTCCAGTCACTTGGAAGAGATGATGGTCTGCCTTGTGGAGTAGGATATTTTCCTGATCAATCTAAAGCTGAAAGATTTATTAAACGATTTGAAGAGAAAAATAAAAGTGTATCGAATGAATGTGTTGATGAGATTGTGACTGATTTCGATCGATTAGTGTTTAAAGAGGTTTGTGTTCCAATTTTTTTTTGTGTGTGTTATAATTTTTGTATTTTAAATGTTGATTTCGTCACAAGCCGACATCAGTTAAGGAATCTGGACAGTTGTTTCTTCCTAGTTAAAGGCTCTTTAACAGTGTACATTCCGTTTATCTGCCTGTTTTCAACAGAGAACTTTGCACTGATGTGCAGTAGTTCGAGTCGCCACACTCTATGTAGCACACAATGCAAGAGAAAGTAAAGTTAAATGTAAAATAGAGACAGAAAACAAAGATATAAGGCAAAAGGAATAGTAATATAGAAAAAGAATATAGTTTTATTGGGTATTATAAGTCACAAGGAGTGGTTGTATCTGCGCTATTGAAAATGATTATAAATCAGCCTTATCATCAATAGTCTTCAGTCTTCATTGGTGTTTACCGTCCTGATGACCCTAACCAGGAAGTTTACATCTTCCTACGTGGCTTAAACTAACTACTGTGGGTTTGATTGATTGATGAAGATATGTTTTGGTTTGACCACTACTGGTTCTTTTCCAACCTGATCCTATGTCAGTCAGCTAACACTGCCCGTTGAGGAAGGTTATGGCTAGACTAGCATGAGTAACACATGTCCTAACCATCTCAGTCGATGTAGCTCCACAGCCTCGTCGATTGATTTCCCCTCCTTACCTAGCACTCGACCAATGCCTAACCTCAATATTGCTCACCCTATTATATCACTTCACATAGAAGATAGAGCGCAGGCATCTGTGATCAAAGACAGCTAACCGGCTTTTTCATGTCTTCCACTCTCAATGGCCAGGTCTAACAGCCAGCCATAGAGGAGGACAGAGCGGAAAGCTGAGCAGTACACACGCCCTTTAGTCGATAACAGTGTACACTCGTGGCTCAACTTACGGTGAAGCCCGAAGATCTTCAGGTTGCGAGGCTAACTCATTGAACATTGTGCTGCTTGGGCAGGAATCTAATGACCTGTGAATTCTTTATAAATGTGTGACGTAGAGTCCACCGGTAACCAATATCTTCGATGACCATTCACTTCATCTTGACATTCTGTGCCTCACGTGTCACGACTTCGCACTACAATTTCAGGGCAGCAGCCGTCAACGGGCTGGAGACTGACATCTAGATTATAGACATTTTTTATCGGGATTGGGATTAATTTCAGACTATATTTTGGTTGCCAGTTGACATCCTTTCTTTTTCAAACAGAAGCTGTTCAGTGATCCGTGGTTTTTGATGATTCTCTAACTGACGATGTTGGAGAGTGGTGATATATAGGCTGGAATTAGTCCGAATTCCTCTCCCCACCAACCTCTCCGCCCTCAAAAACTCATAATTCAATTCATTGTATTTGATTTATGTGCGTTGCCGGGTAATAAATTCACATTATTTATAAAGGCTAACTGTGTGTAGCCTGTTTGGTTGAGCTGTTGATTGATTTTATTGAACCGAAGTGTTTGGTCTCTGTTGACGTTATCGACTTGTGTGCTGATGCTTCTTCGATTTCCGTGGATTAACATGATTTATCCTGGTGACTGGTGGTGACTAGCAGTGGAATTCGGGATACGGATTTGCTTTCTACATGGGACTAGTCAGTTGCGTGTGTGATGTTCCCACTGAGAATCGAAGCCGGCATCCATTCTTTTAAATGCCAATGACGAAATGTACATCTTGGATTCCACTGTCAGTCAACATTCACCAGATAATACTATGTTTAGCCTAGTCAGTGAATGGTTTTGTAATGTGTTTTATCTACACATAGACATAAGTAGAGTAACGTCTTGGGAGAAACAGTAATGGTATACTTGTTGATGGTAAAGTCACTGAAGGGCAAAGTTAAACTTTAAGTACCACCAACTACCCATCAGCGGACGACCTTCAACGGACCAATCACAAGAAATAGGAACTTTTGATTAAGGAAAACGTATATTTATGGAAAAAAGCATAAAAACTGCATAAAACTGTTACATAGGGTATCTTTCTCTAACATGTGACAGAAACATCTTCCAGTTTAGCATAGGAGAGTCAATAGAAGAGTTACATCACATTCTTTACATATATTCATCTAAATGACTATAAATGAGATCCATTTATAGACATAATCCTATTTTTTTAATCTTCCGCAAAATCCTTATATGGAATTCGTGTGTGTCTCTGTAATTGGAACCACAAAATCCCTAGAATGGTTCACTCTGTGATGAACATATCCAAGAGATGACAGCGAGTTATAACCTTTCCATTCATCAGTAGGTACAATGGATCTCTATTTCACAAGTCGAGTGACAATAGGTACTAAGGTAGTAGAATTTCTGTCTGGTATTCTCTCCATGAATCCTCTCCGCAGGAAGGTGTCATATAAACCGATCACCCAAACATTGTTGGCTTGCTCACAACCACGGCTGTATTTTTTCTGTAGTAACACAATTTCGTCCACGTGTACGACGATACCTTTTTCGCCTAACAACGAAGTTATTCTCCATTTTTTATGAGGCGATATCTTTCCTTCCTAAGCAACCCCAAATCCAGGCAATACTTCAAAACCTTATCCCCATCTTACTTCAAGCGTAATTTCGTTTGATGCGAATCAAGCGCCATACAACCTTGAACTCGCGTGCATGAACCTCATTGAAACATTCGAGGTCATTCGCTGATTGGTAGTTAGTGGTGCTTAAAGTTTAACTTGGCTCACTGAAGAAGACAAGTCTAGATATAAGAACAGAACAAACACCGGACAACGACGAATAAAGCAATATGTAATCTAAAATAGATGATAATATTTGTAAATTATGAAGTAAATTTCACGTTTATCATTTTCTAAATGCCTCTCTTTTCTTATTTTCTCTCAGTAAATCGTAGACCTGCTATCACTGGTTTTACTCTTCATACAATGGGAATCATTGGGGATTATTTATTATTATTATTCCGTTGGGTTCCGAGTAGAACATAGGTCTTCAGTCGCACCTCCCCACTTCATTCTGTGTTCTGCAGTCCTTTTTATCTAGTTCCACGATTGCCCTCCAGCTGTCATTTTCTTTCCACACTATTTATTCCATGTCATCCTCGAACCCACGTCCAAGGTCTAAAGTTTTGGTAGCTATGGTATTGTTCCTTTCACGGTGTGGTGTTACTAGCTTCACACTCAACCTTCCCTGTTTGCTGACCTTTCTGCCGGTCAATTGAGGTTGAGGACTGTATCTGTCGGGAATCGAACCGGTCAACTTGAGGCGTAGTTGATGGACATTCAGCCATTGAAACACTGACGCAAATTATTCATTTAAATGCACATAAAATTAACCATATATTGATCATTTTGCGTTCTGTTTATTTTCTCTATTGTATAAAGAATCGGTGTCCACGTCAACTTATGAAATCTAATAAACGTATGCCTGTATTACGTTCTCAAATTAACAAATCAACCATTAATGGTGACGATGAGGAGGATGATGATGGTGCCTCATCCACTGCATCTTGGAGCACTGTAGGCTCAGTTGAAACTGTTAGCAATTTATCATGTATCAGTAATGGAACAACACAAATAATTCTAGAAGATGCAACAATGAAAAAACCTTGGCGTTTATTAAGTCACTCAAAACACTTGAATTCAGCGCACCATTTACCGTCTGCAACAAATCCAAGCGGAACTACTGGAAAACAGCAACATGTTAAATCGAAAAAGCGTAAGGAGAAGTTACGTCGTGTCTATCGTTATCTTGATGAACATGAAAAAACATAAAGAAAGCAAAATTTTACTGTCTTCTCTCTCTTCACTTTATTCCTAACACCCTTTCTGCATATACTAATTTATTTCATCTGCAATACTTTTTACTTTTCTGAGATTTGTTTAAATTTTATTATTTTGTAAATAATAAAATAATACTCTTGGATTTGTTGAATTTCTTTATTTTGTCTTATTGATGTTGTCGTGTTGTTGGTGGTACGTCTGAGCTTTATTGTTTACTGTTCAGTACTATACTCCAGGATGCATGTATTTATTAGTCCGTTTTTGTGGAGTTTTCACATTAATATTGCGTAGAGATGATTTCATAGTAGGTATTTATTATTCAGGATTGATCACAAATTGATTTCATTTAGAGAACCATTGAAAACTAGCAGAGAGTATTGGATGACTGTTTCGCATTTGTTTGGGACTCCTCAGCAAGTGTGCAACCGTGTCTCCACCACTAGGAATCGAAGGCAGAACCTTCAGGTTACAAGGCGAGCTTGTTGGCCATTGCGGAGCTGGTGCAGCATCCAGTTGCCGGCCCATGAATTCTAACTACTGCCAGTTTGCAATATATTTATTTGATGGGCTAACAAATGTCGCCAGGGACTATTTGTCCCCGCACCCAACGCATGGTGGACCCTGCTGGTCATCATTTCCCACTAGAGAACTTCAGGCGACATCATCCTGCAGTGAGTTACTAATGAGTACTAGATTAATTTTCAAGTATTAGTGTGCTCGGATTTGACAGATTTAACGATCGATCATGATTCGTTATTGATTGACTGAATGATAAAAGGATTTAAGCAAATACGTATTTTCGGTTATTTCTTATCAGGCTTTGGAAATTATGCAATAAAATTACCTAAGCCTTAGACAGTAGATATAACGTTGTAGAAAATAGAATTCTCTGGGGGCATTGTACAATATAATTGGGAAAACGAATCAGGAGTTTAAGATTGGCACATGTAGTGGATACTGTCCATGCTTGAATGACGACAAAATGCTCACCCGGTTCGATTACTCTTAAATCTCACTTAGCTGTTAGTAAGCTCGGTAAAGAGGGAAGTTTGGACATGAAGCTGACAACACCACTATTACTGAAACAACAAAGTTGAAGCGTGAAGACCTGTTTTCCACTCTGAAGGTAAAGGAATACAAACAAAGTGGGTAAAGAGTACAAGATTAATATACAAGGTGACTCCACAATTCTTTAGGTTTGTACGTCTTTGATTACTAGGCATAATTGTGGTACTTGTTATCGAAAACTTTCAGTGAAAATTATGTATTCAGGAAAGGCTTTTTCAGTCACTTTCCCTCCTATAGCTTCTTCACCTGACATGTAAAATAGCTTTCCATCCGGGTAACAGTGGACATTTTAATCTTAGTTTCATAAAACCACTTGTTCACATTGAATGACTGCTTAGATTATACAAAAACTTGCATGAATTTATCCTTGTTATTATTTCTAGTCTGATCACCATGATTACTGTTGACTGATTCATATACTTGAACCTTAATTCTGTTAACTACAATGGTATCAAACGTCTATGCTTAATAACTTTTATAAATGTATTTGTAAAGTCTGGTTAAGAAATTGCCTAGAATACGTATTCGCTGAGATTATAGTCTGTAATTATCATAATATTGATATTAAAATTATTCGTCGAATATCAATCAATGTAGGTGTCGTCACGAGTCAGTATCAATTAGAGAATCAATGAAAACCAGGGTGGATTGAACCATCGTTTCGTCCCAGCTTGGAACTCTTCAACATTGCGCACCCAATTAATTGAAATTAATCCTAATCTTTACAGAAGAAAGCCATAATCTAGCGGGATGACTTTGTTTTTAGTTTGAACATCCTTATTGGCGCAAATGATATATTACCGAAGTGTTGATTGATTAGTTGGCTGGTTGAAGAAACTGTGAATCAGTTGTTTACACATCTAAATATATAAAGTACAATGAAAACATAGTCTAGGAAACAGTAATAACCGTAATAATAGATGGGGCGTTAAATTATCAGGTGTTCATGAATGCGCAATAATTTTGTTTCTGGTGGGGAGAAGCTTTGCACATATGGACATTTATCTACTTGAAAAGCCCGTCACGTAAATTTTGTACTCACCAAGTTTTTGTTTTCGACAATCAGACATACCAACGTATATGTTCTTTGTTGATTAATGTTATGTTTTATGTAAAATTTTTTAAAGTTTAGTCTCAAAATTGGCTTTTCAGTTGCTCCAGCTTATGAGTTTCTAGTTTGAATTCCGAGTAGAGTTCAGGGTTTCAAGCTTTTAGCCTTGAAGTTTCAGCGGCTTTGACTTTGTTTTTACTAAGTTTGTGTTTGGGCCTCACACGTAGCCTTCCCTTCTATTCTGGGTTTACTACTTACTGGCTGGTAAGTAGTGCGTTGACTGTAAATGAATCATGGTCGGATGCCTGGCTGGTAAGCACTCTACCACTGAACCGCTGATGCGCCGCTCCATCTTATACAATCAACTTATCGGATATTACTGTTAGTGTTAAAGTCGTACATTATTGATTGTCAAAGAAGGTACCTATAACCATTCCCGGCAGTGAGGGCACACTGATGGACTGAATAATGCTAAGGTATTTATTCTATTAAGTGAGGTTGTCAAAGAAGTAATCTTCAAACAATTGATCTCTAGAAGTGCATGGCACTTTCATATATTCGTAAATCTTCTATTTTATATCAGCAGTATGGTTCATGGTGGAGATGTGGCTCGTAGGCTTCAGCACTGGTTTTCCAGCCGGTGGGCCGTGGGTTTGAGTTCCGTTCCATCTGCATCAGTATGAGCAACTGGGCACTTTATCACACCTCATACGATAATTGTGGCTCGTTTGGTTTAGTACATGAAAAACCTGTTCCGAGTTATTGGGCTTAAACAAACAGTCGGGGTGTTTAGCTAAGTTGATGTAGTATTGGTGTATCCTGTACTTATTGTACAGTCTAATTCCACGGTATTATCACACAGACGCCTTCAAGTACTCATGTATCACAATATAGGTAAATTCGTAATAGTCATTTTCAGTCTAGTGTGGTGATAGGCTCCAAAAACAATGGTGGAACGAGTTTTGAAAGCAACTATTCTAAATTAAATGTCTAACTATTCGAGAAAAACCTCTTATCTTTATGTGAACAGGGTAGGGGTTTATAATACGTTTGTTCGTCAAATGAATATCAATTATTTGTACTGTTACTGCATTGTGTATATGGGCGCCGTTAGCCAATAGAAAAGTAGAAAGTGTTGTTTTATTTTACTTTGAGTTTCTATATGAGTACAGTCTGGCTTTCGTAGTGGCTAACAAATCTTTAGAAATCAGCCAAAAAAGTAGGCTTTAGTAACTAAGTTTAGGATGTCGGTTTCAACCTCTATTTATTCTATTCAGGGATATCACTATGTTCCGTGATGTACATACATGCGTTCAAGATATAGCTCAAAGTTGGTAACGAATTGAATGCAGTTAGATGACCATTAAAAGCCTGGAAGTAATCGACAGGGTTTTTTTCCCCGCTTAGGACTTTCCAGCAGCTCGCAACCATCACTCCACCACCAGGGATCGAACTCAGGACCTTCACTTTATATGGCAAGGCCATTGACTATTCAGCCGATGGGACAGAGTTAAGTGGTCGGTTCATAAGTCCTCGGCCATTAGCCGGTGTCATTATTAGTGGTTTTCCTTACGCGCCAGTTGGTGGATCCAGTTGGTCACGATTTGTCCCTAGCTGCTCTGTGAAGATAAAGTTTAGACAACTGGTTTTTGCAATGGTCGTGACTTTTTTACATCCCAATAATGACACCACGTTACTTGTCTAGATTGATGCGGTGTAGTGGGTACTGAAGTTTTCAATTTCAAAGTATATTACTCACACACAGTTTAAGTAGTATATCTTTATTTTCATATTTCTATCATCTAATAGTAGAAATACCCTCTCATATTAAAGTTGAAAGTTTCAGCTCCTTGTTGATTTGTTTCTTCTAATATTATGAGCGATTGCACTACATAAATTGATGTGTAAGTATCAAATAAGTATCAGTAAGTATCAAATAAATTAGTTTATGAAAGCATTCCCATCTCGTAAACGAAGAGGATTTCTCACCTGACGCTGTTGTGTTGGCTGAATTGAACTGAAGTTCTGTTTGTTAGGTGTAAACGATAGTATTTACTGTCGAGTGTATGCTACAATCGATGTATGAATAACACCTGAACTTTTATATGATAATGTATAAACCTATGATACGATGTTTTATTTATTGATTTGTTGAAGACATGTTGAGCACGATTCCATTGGTTATACCTTGATATGATTTAAATCAATACATTGTGCTCACTGTCTCATAAATAAGTAATAATATACCAAATCAGTTCATTGTATCCCTAAGTATGCTATAAAGTTTCAAAGTTATTTTTGTGTAAAACTGCGCAATGGTTGCAATGACATATTTAGGTGTAAAACAGGTTTACGATCCAATATTCATTTTCATGGTTTGCTGATTTTTAATACAGATGGTGCGAAGAAGGAAAGCAAGAATTTCGTTGAGTACATTATTGAGTACAATATTGAGATGAACGAGTCGACTTTGTCCTTTGAATAGAATTTATCTTTTCACATGACTAGTTATCTCAATCATAAGTTAAATATAGAATTGTTAGTTACTCACCTGTATGGACAAAAAAGCGTACTGTTTTATTCTTGTAAGTATGGACAATACTATTAAGAATGACAAAAGTGCAGGCGAATTGTTCAAATTAGACTTTTTTTCTTGAAGTCATTTTATACTACTGTTACTTCTGTCATTGAACTGTGGAGAAATGTAGCTCATCGGCTTAAGAGCTTGGTTCGCAGTCAGCAGGTCATGGGTTCGAGTCACGACTGCCCTACTACAGCTTTGGCAATGAGGTAGTAGGATCAATTCTTACATGATAAGAGTAGTTCTTAGTCTGGTGCAAGAAATTTGAAAATTTGTCTCACTTTTCGACACAATATTCAATTATCTGACGCAGAGATATTTATGCCATGTATTACGGATTGAAGGTAAACTATAGTTCGATAGTGGTGTCATTATCACGCCACATAACTTTTTTAAGGCAGTGCATAGAATTCATGATATATATATATATATATATACGGATCATCATTGAACAAAGCTTGGAATGGCAGTCACCTCTCTATCTCAACTTCATCGACTTTGAAAAGGCCTTCGACAGCGTCGATCGAGAGGTCATTTGGAAACTACTTCGCTACTACGGGGTCCCATCGACAATTATACACCTCATCCAACAGTTATACGACAATGCTGCATGCCAAGTAATCCACAACGGGGAACTTACGGAAGCCTTCGAAGTGAGGACGGGAGTGAGGCAAGGCTGTCTACTATCACCAATGATCTTCCTGATTGCAATTGATTGGATAATGCGACAGACAACGGCAGCCAACGAGAGAACAGGCGTAAAATGGACTGACACAAAAGACTTGGAGGATCTGGATTTCACCGATGATATATGTCTGATTTCCCATAAACTGGAAGATATGCAAGTGAAAAGTAACAAGTTGGCAGAAGAAGCATCAAATATAGGACTTCACGTGAACATAGATAAAACAGAGATAATGAAGATTCCTAGCCAACATCAACAACACCAACAGACCACAATAAGCATAAATGGGAAGAACCTGAAAGAAACAACCTCCTTCACCTACCTGGGAAGCATCGTCTCAACTACAGGCGGAACTGACGAGGACATCAAAGCCAGAATCGGAAAAGCAAGACAAGCTTTCATTACTCTCAAATCTGTGTGGAGGTCAACAGCAATCAGTATCAAAAATAAGATCCGGATTTTCAACTCCAATGTAAAGTCAGTGCTACTATACGGATCAGAGACTTGGCGAGTCATAAAGAGCACCTCAAACAAACTTCAAACCTTCATTAACAACTGTCTCCGCTCAATACTCAAGATCAGATGGCCAGAAAAGATCAGCAACAGGGATCTCTGGGAGCGAACCAAATAGGCAGAAAGAAATGGAGATGGATTGGCCATACGCTGAGGAAACCATCAAGTGACATCACTAGACAAGCCCTCGAGTGGAACCCGAAAGGGAGGCGGCGAGTTGGTCGTCCAAGGGTGACTTGGAGGAGGTCATGCGAGGAGGAGATGAAAGCATGTGGACAGACCTGGAGCAGGGTGAAAAAGTTGTCAAAAAACCGAAGTCAATGGAGGTGCGCAGCTGAAGCCCTATGTTCCTCTAGGAACTAAAGGATACAATAATAATAATAATAATAATAATATATATATATATATATGAGCTATCAAATCCGTAGGAAATTCAGCATATTCCGAACTACTTCACTGAGTGATTCACGTTTCTTGTACACAATAGCTGACACAAAATCAGGTTAGAAAACATGTAGGTGGGGAGGGAGGGGCGTCAAATCGAAACGTGATCTCAGTTTATCAAGTTTTTGACTGTTGGTTTCAGTCAGCTAACTTCAGAGGTGCAGACTGCCTAGTTGGGGTTCTCGAGACGCTATGAATCAATATTTTGAGACTGTTGGTGATATGGGTCAAAATCGTTCTCAACAGCTCAGATACGCTGACTCATTTTAATCTCCCAGATGCATTCAGTTTTCATGTTTCTACATGGAATTATTTTTTCACCCTTAGATGCCTACCAATTATGGGTCTTCTGAACGTTTCCTCTTCTCTTGCTGAATGGTATGTGGTAACTTGAAGTTCTGCGCGAAGTTTTACGCGGAAAACTCAGTCAGTCAGTTAGCTAGGTAGTCGTCATGTTTTCAATCACTTGGTGCCTATCATTTCAGACTTATTTTACTATTATATTCGCTCTTTTCCAATGATTTAATGAGTATAAAATGACTTATCTTTCATTGTATTCTACGTTTCTAATTGGTTTTCTGATTTTATTACAGATAGTCTTATGGTTTCTGGCAATTATCTCCTGTCAAGTGTCAAGTGTTTTCAATTATGTAAATTACTACTTCCTATAAATCCAATCGTGCTTACTCAACATAAACTGTGTCATTCCTTGAAACAATGTACGACCACTAGTACTACTACTCCTACCACCACCACTAATAATAATAATAATAATAATAATAACAATAATCAGAACAATATTGAAGAAAGTAAAGAATATCTAGAGAAATTAGAAGCTGCTAAGAATAATCCACCTTGTGGATCAACATTATACCAAGAAGATGATCGTTTCCCTCCTATTGTTTCTCCTGATCCTATATTCAATTGGGAGGCGTTAAGAATTAGTTTAAAAGCTCGTGGCCTACATGACAAATTCAATATTGATGGATTAGTATGTTTTTTTTTTGTTTTTCATTAAACAATTTTATTGATTGATTTGTTTATTCAGCTACTGTCACCTTTTTTTTGAAGTAGTTTGAAAAATTATCAAGTGTGTGTGTGTTTGTGGGGATTTGGTTGGTTACAGGTTTGATCACGACCTGATATTAGGTTAAAGAGCTATTGGAAAACCAGATAGTACTGGACATCTGTTTTGTCCCAGTTAGAGTCTCTTCAGCACTACCCACCCACTGAGACTTGAGCCCAGAGAACCTTTCGGTTACAATGGCGAGCTCGTAAACCATCCAGCCACTGGCGCGCAATCGAAGGGCGTATGAATTCACGAGTCTGGAAAATATTCTGACATTCTTAATTCAAAGAAATCTTTTTTAATTTACATGTACAATGTTGTTCATTGTTATGGTTTGAAAAGTTGGCTGATTATATAGTATGTGTAGGAAGTAAAGCTTTTTACTGTCCTGAAGTATTGCAGACTTTGAAATTCATTTATTCACAGTTTATTCTTGCTATATACTTCTCATTGACTAGTGAAGGTGAAGATATAAAAGAAGTGCGTTTTGCGACTTTGGTTGTCATTTTTAACAGGTTTATAGTTAGGAGTACATAACTGTTGAATCCCTCTCGAATTATGACTGTTAGAGTCTTGGGTAGGACACCAGTTTCTTTTAAAGGGTGGCTGAAACTTAGCATCGAATACCACTGAGAATGATCATGTTTCTCTGATATAATAGAGAAAATTTGCAACTCAGGTGGGTGATTTTAATGTGGTTGTGTCCTCTGAGTTTAGTTGCGGTTTAGTCGCGAAACATTAATTGTCCTTCTGGATAGCATCTTAAACGCAGACTTTAGTATGGAGTAAACTTATTTGAATTTTACTGTGATCATGTGGCTTAACGTTTTTTCTTTTGTATGAATATGTGTGAAGCTTGAGATTCTATGTGGACACGGGGATTAGAGCTGGTATTTATTCAAGGGAAATCGAACTTTCAACTCTGAGTATAAGCTGAGGGATATTAAGATCTAGATTCTCAGGGTTGACAGTTACCACAATCATTTCACACACCATTTGTTATTTTTAGATCCTGTAACTTATCTGGATCTTTTGTTGGATCCAGTGGTTTTCAATCCCTCTAGATAGTACTTGAGTATTCACGAGTTTGAATATTTTAATCTACTTTCATTCGAATATTGTTGTTATGTAGAGTAAGTTAGTCTGTTACCGTAATGATGTATACGAAGAGGATGGCTAAGTTCCACTCATTATTGATATCAATCGGAGGAAGCATTCCTATTAAGTGTTCTAAGATCCCTTTTTTTCTCAGTGTAAAATTGTGTCTCATCATAATGCCTAAGTTAGGATGAAAGTTTCTTTTAAGTGATAGTTAGACGTTATTAACGAGCATCACTGAGAATAACTGCGAGATTTAGCGTTTCCCTCTGTGGATTTATGTGAAGGCTGACAGTATGGATTGACATGAAAACGGGAAGTGGTAGTTATCCTGGGGAAATTGAGCTTTCAGCTCTGAGTTTAACTAATACTCAAGGCAGCTGAACAATACCAGAAGTTGGATTTTCATGGTTCACAGTTGCTAGAATCGTTTCTTACGCTTTTTGCTCTGTTTAAGTCCTGAAATCCACCTAAGTCTTTGACATGATCCATTGCTTTCCAGCTTTCGCAGGTAGTCGTTCAATGTTGATGAGTTTGAACATTGATGTTTTCTGATTCAATTTTTTTAGAACATTGTTGTCACATGAAGGTAGTGAATAAAATTTTCTCACCAAATTTACGGGTTTGTAGGCATAGGAAGATTAACTGAGAAGAAGGCTAGATTCCTGTCTACTGGCTGGCTGGTTTCAGCATAGAACTTTGCACTGATGTGCAGCATTTCGAGTTGCCACACTCCACTCAGCACACAAAGCAAGAGAAGAAAGTAAAAAGAAATGCAAAATAGAGACATAAAACAGAGATATAAGGCAAAAGGAATAGTAATATCGAAGAACAATATAGTTTTCTTGGCTATTATGAGTCACAAAGTGTGGATGCATCTGCACTATTGAGAACCATTCTGAGCCATATCACCAACTGTCTCCAACCTTCATTGGTTTCTACCATCCCAAGGACCTCAACCAGTCAGGAAGTCTACTCCTCCCTACGTGGCTGGCTTAAACTAACTGTTGTGAATTTCATTGACTGATGAAGCCATGTTTTGGGTTGACCACCACTGGCTCTTTTCCAACCTGACCCTATGTGAGCTAACATTTCCTGTTGTCGAGGAAGGCGATGGCTAGGTAGGCATGCGTAACACATGTCCTAACCATCTCAGTCGATGTAGCTTCACAGCTTCGTCGATTGATTTCCCCTCCTTACCTAGCACTCGACCGATGCCTTACCCCAACATTACTCACCTTATTATACCACTACCTAACACGGGAGATAAAACGCAGGGACCTATGATGAAAGACAGCTAACCGGCGTTTTCATGTCTTCCACTGTCAATGGCCAGGTCTAACAGCCAGTCATAGAGGAGGACGGAGCGGACTTCTGAGCAGTACACACATCCTTTGGTCGACAGCCAGCCGGGTATCACGTCTACTCCAGAGACGCCGTAAACTGGCATATGCGAAACGAGCCTTCTGTATCCGTGCTGGAATTTCGTCAGCGATCAACCCGTTGGAACTGGCTGATTCAACTTCCAAAATAAGTGAGGCGGTCAACGCGCTCTACCACTTCCCTTCCTATTTCTAATCTAGGAGTCACTGTAGTCCAGTCCTTATTATTGATATCTGTGAGAGGAAGCATTTTCTTTAACTATTTAGAATTAAGTGAATAAATTTGGTATGTATGTCGCTTTTGTTCACATGTAAATGCTAACTCATTTATTTTGTTGTATCTCAATGGAAAATAATAATTTCTATAATTTTACAGATTGATTTAGAAAAACGAATCAGTGATTTACATGCAAAAATGGATGCTTTAATGAAGGAGAGGGCTTTACTTCAAAAACAGTATGATGAAAAGAAAGAGGTATGATAATTGTTTCTTACTGTTTTTGACATTGTACATATAGTAACCAGAATGCTTAACCAAGTTGTCGGGAATAGATAATCTTAGTGCGCTGGGGCTGTATAAAGAAGGTGGGTCAGGGGTTTCGAACTGCGCGCCGGTGGCACATTGGTTAGGACTCTCGCTGACCATGCGCATGGTCCGAGGTTCGATCCCCTCCCGACGCATACCTCATATCTATGGTCGGCCTGCGAAATTTGGGCTACCGATATCCATGCTGAAAATTCCATGCTTGTACCGAAAATACAGTGTGGAATCAAGCTGTAATAAAAATAAGTAAAAAATAAGAATAAAATTCTTGTGCATAGGCAGTACTGGCGGAACATTGTCTGGATGCGCCCATTTATAGGCATGGTTTCAAAAGGAGGGCGTTGAACAGAATATTCTTACTTCTGATTGTACAGCATTAACAAAAACTTCTTTGACAGTCATACGTAAAGTGCGATCAAGTCGTTCGAAAGGATTTTCCTTACATCTCTATGGAGCCGGAACCTTAGCGATCTTTGAAGGAGAAATCTAAACTTTGTGTTCAGACAAGATTTATCCAGTCTCTTTTACTATCATGGCCTTAGTAATTTATTTCCTTCCTTGTTTTTCTGAATAACTCTAATAAGCTCTGTGTTGTTGTTATTGCTTTATTTAAATCCATCAAGGGAAGAATTCGTGTAGTCCAATCAAATATGGTAGAAAGTATAGCATGATTAGTGAATAGATACTTTTACAATTGTGTATAATACGAAAGAGATCATCGTGAGATCTCGTAGTAAATGATATTTCTAATGTTGGTGATAGAATATCTCAAAGGCTAATTCATAGGTGGAAATTATTATTTATTTATTTAAATCATGACAACCAGGTAATGTTAGTATTTCGTTTGGAAGTTGAACTTTGCACCCATCGTTTCAAATAAAAAGAAAAAGCTGATATAAGGTGGTTGGAGGCAATCGGCCACAGGAAGCCTTAGATCTAGTTTTCGTGTTCATTGGCACTCGTCAACAAGGCGTATCTGCTACCTTGAAGGAATGTTTTTGCTTATCTCACTTGTTGTTATTGTTCTTATTATATTTACAGATATTTGCAAATCTTTCATTTTGAAATATTGTCCTTTTTTTTTCTTCTGAAAAACAAACAACAGAACTCAGCTGAAATTGCAGCCGCTGCACGTTCTGCAAGAAATGAACACAAATCACTTGAGGTTTGTTACTAATAAGGGTTGATTGTTGATGTGTATTTGCCTAACTGAAATATGGTGTTTTTTCTTTCTTCCCTCCTCTATTTCACTTATTATATAGTAAGCTGACATTTATGCATTCATGCAAACATTTCACTTGAACACTGTGTTTTATTATCACTAGATCATCATAATGCGTCAGTAGCACAGCGGTAGAATGCTCGCCAACCACACGGGTGGTTAGGGATTCGAGCTGGGAATAAGACTGGCAAAGAGGGAGGGTTGGTTGGGCGTGAGGCTACCAACCGCATCCTGTAAAAATAAGCACCACTGCTACGGAAACTTCAAAGCTGTAGCTTGAAGATCTATGTTTCACTGGGAACGTAAAGAAATAAAAAAAGATGATATGTATCCACATGATGTGTGTGTGTTTTGTTGTTGACAGTCAATTATATTTTGCTGTGTATGTGGATCGTTATTCCATTATAACTGACAATATGCTTTTGTCTGTCCACTAACTAAATAAATATGTATGACCTTGTTGTCATATGACATTACAACCAATCATGTTAAGACTGTCTATTGATTCGTTCATTTTTGAACATTCGCTCATACACTTGTGTGACATTGATTTTTCCTTGTGTTTGAAAAATACAAGTATCATCGTGAACCTGGTGGTTTTCTGATCTCCGCCTTGCGTCAGGACTATTAATTACTCGACCAGTACATAACCTTCACAGTTTTGTCCCAATAAGTAAAAGAAGAAATCTCATTGTCTGGTAGCTTCATAAATTGATGATATGTCTTGAAATGGTTGTCTCTTAAAGGATATTTTACTTACGCTATGAAGTAGTAAAATATTAGCTTTATGATTTCAAGTGTCTGACATTATTCGTGTGAATTTTTTTTCTCTTGATATCCAAATCTACCTTACTTGCTGGTTATTTTCGTCTCGGTAAGGGTGATCCTTCAGTCTAAGTATGAATCTTTCTGATTTTGTTCAAACTCCCTCTCAGTTCTAACATGGCTACCTGAGTTCGAGTGGAGTGCCTTGATTAGGGTAAGGTGCTTTCTTGACACCCCTGATAGCCAGTTGTTGCTACAGCACCTCTCGGTCAACTGAGTCAAATTCCATCTTCAGGTTAAGAAGTATAACAAGTGTTGAATGTTGGCAAGTATGCCTATGTTCCAGAAACTGTCGATAGGTGAAGATGTGATCAACACACCGCGTCCTGATCTAAGGCTTGACTCTTTTTTCCCCGCTTTCTTTCTTCCAACTATCCCTCAGTTCATGTATGATTATTGGATGTAGGACACTGAATACTGTGTAAGTCAAGGTAATTCCTCCAGTATCTAATTACCAAGACATCACTTGGTGATCATCTTTTCAAAACCTTTAACTGAGTTATTCAAAGTCAAATTCTGGGAGTTATTAGCTGAAGCATGATGTGTAATTGTTCTTGAGTTGTCTGTTCATGCACAAATTTTATTCTTGTTTCGCATTTTGTCTCAATGTCGTTATCTTATTCATTTCTCTTTTAGATGTCATATAAACAATTGAGTCGTGAATTTGAAAGAGACTCCCTACAATTACCTAATATTTTACATCATTTAACAGTAAGTTTTGACTTTTGTTGCTGTAAGATGAACTACATATATATATATCCATAGTAGTGGTTCAATCGTAGAATACTCATCAAACACGCACGTGGTCTGGGTTTTGATTCCCAGCCGACGTACTCCTAAACCTCGCCTAGTTTACTACTTGATAGTAAGCCTGGTAAAGAGAGAAGTTTGGGTGTGAGGCTGGCAATTTCATCCCCACCCCTCCGCAGTGGATGACGCCATTACTACTGAAAATGCTGAAAATTGAAGTGCTATATATATGTGGTTGTCAATGGATATCTCTTATGTGTAGCTTCGTTTTGTACTTACAAGACACGAACATCGAAATTTGACACTTCCCTACGAAAAACAACTATCTGAAGACCAACATATGAAATAGTTAGTTGAATTGAGATTATGTGTGTGTTTGTTGATGGTACCTGGTTTTCTGTGATCGAATTTCAGCGTTGATTATCTCAATTTACAACGTAGCATACTTCAACTCCTGTGTTTCGTAATCATTCAGAATAAGTTGTGTAAAAATTGTGTATGCTGAATTAATCGTGAATTTACCAGCAGTGTATGATATTTCCCATGGATCTTGGAGAAAGAAAGAGTTGTATGTAAATCTATCAGTTTGATAGACTCTACATTTTCTATCTATTGATCCTTTTGAGTCTATTGTTTACGCAGTTTACACTTTAGGTGTTGATTATTGATGTGTTTTTATTTCCTGTTGCGTTTGTTCTGTATTCATGACAGATGTATCTGAAAGCTAGTCACTAATGATTAATAGGTTGATATTCCAATGTTCAGTTTGTATGGGTTTGATTCATTTCAAATTGAAAATCATAGATTACTGATTAGTCACCCAGCTCTCTCTCTCTCGCCTTGTACATCGTTTCGTTCTCTTGCAGATTTGTAGAGATACATGGCGCCTAGGAGATCAAGACTTGAACAGTTATCCAAAACATCTTGAAGTAATATTGGTTTGTAGTGTAATCAAGAAAACTTTGCCGTCCCAACGTATGCATATAGAGTTCTTATAATTGATTAGAGTGCTTCAGATAAATCTAATTTCCTGTTTGCAAATTTTACTCACGATTCGCAATTTACACAGTTCCATGAGGAATTTCACCACATTTTCCCTTTGGAAACTGAATTATTCAGATCACCCTGGATGTGGTCTGCTTGATACCATAAAAGGTATGACACCATGAATGATTTTTGTGAGTAGATGGGCGCTAATCACATCATTCAATGCAATTTAAATTTTCCCGTCGATTGATTGAACCGAAGCACTGGGTTTAGGGGAAATCTAAATTGAATCAAATAATTAATAAAACCCGTTGCACAAGTGGTGGCTCTCGTGGCCCAAGTGGTATAGGGGATAAGGCTTTGACATTTGAGACTATGGGCAATGAGTTTAAACCTCTTTGGGAACACCACCGCTAACTCACTGGGGAATGCAGGTATATCCAGTTGACGAGTCCGAAATAGGACGAAATGCTCATTTAGGATTTCACTGCTCGTCACTATCAATCAACTAACCACTCATATCAGTTAATATTATCAGTTCGCCAGAATGCAAGTGATTTAAAGTGATTCGGAGTCAAACTAGGTGACACTGATGATTGACTCCACCTTAAACGGACGAAACAGCCATCTGGTGTTTAGATCACTTCGGTCTAGTTGGGTAGCCAGCACTACTGTTTGATTCAAATGGTATCTCACTACTCATTTGAATCAATCAGTAGTGTTTGTTTGTTTGAGATATCTTTTGGTTTTACTGGTTAGTTTTATTTATTGTTAGCAAGTGATAATCAATACTGATCGGCAAATCTTTAGTAATTACAGAATTCAAAACAATTCCCAGTAACTTGTAGATCGGTAAATTGAAACAACCTGTTATAACGCAGTTGCTTTAAAAATTCTTCTTTTTTTACTTATTATACTGCACAAAAATCTTTCAAGTGTTGGTTTGTAGGGAATTGATTGGTTTCAGGATTTCATCATGAGCTGACATTAGTTAGAGAACCATTGGAAAACCTGGGAGTACTGGACAGCTGTTTCGTCCTAGTTTGGGACTCTTCATCAGTTCGCACCCACCACCACAGTTCGAACCCAGGACCTTCCGGTTACAAGGCGAGCTCGTATACCATTAAGCCACTGGGACCCGATCCAATGGTCCTTAAAATCTAACTTGTGCCAATTCACGACATAGCGCGACCGCTAGCCAATGTCTTCGGCTAGTATTTGTCCTCACACCCGACCTGTTGCACCCTACTGGTCACGACTTCCCACTGGAACCCAGGTAACTGTCTACCTGAATAGAGCCAGTCGCCAGTGAGCATCTCATTGATATTCAAGTGTTGGTTTTAATCCCCGTGGGTGCGTACTGCTGAAGAGTCCCAAACTAGGACGAAACAGCTCCCAGGTTTTCCAATTGTCCTCTAACTAATTTCAGCTCATGATAAAATCCTGAAGCAAAAATCTTTGTTACCTGAAGTTATTTTTTGAGTGCTTTGTTGAAATTACTTAATTTTTCTTTATTAATTTTGTAATAATAATTATCATTTATAAACTGACATGCATGATAGATACATTTTCATAGTGTTTCTGTTTAATTTTATGTTGCCTACCCACTTGTGGTGTACATATCGATACAATCAATAACATGGGCGTATATAACTTAATACCTATCTATGTGTGTGTGTGTACACCTCCATGGGGACCTTCGTGTATGCAAATATTCTAAATGGATGGACAATGTTTCACACTTTTGAATAAAAGCCTGTCAGTTCAAGGGATTCACAGACTTCAATTAAATCATATCACCATCATCATGGTACCGTGTGCAGAGATAAAAATTTGCTTTGGTCGAATTTATCAAATGATTACTACAATGAGTAAGTCAGTCGACTAGCCAATTGTTTTTCATTTTTTTTGCGATTTAATTGTTAGTTTTTTGGATTGAGGTATTGATTACATAGTTGAAGACTGTAGACTTGAAATTTAAGAATTCTGCATCAGAGACTGAGATAACGTCGCTTTTTTGGCTGATGAAATTTTCGAACTGGACATACGTGTGTTGCTGTCTGTTGCTGTTAAGATTTACAGCACAAAATTTCAACATTGAAAACATGGCTTCTAATTGTAACGTCGACAAGCTGACTGAGGAGTAATTGAAAACAAATTTATTGGAATCGATGAGGAACTTCTTCTGTACTTCGATGGATTTGAGGCTCTTATTCGTGTATGAACTAACATTCTCAGTTCGTTTACTCTGCAGTAAGGTAACATATTCATTAAACGATTCTCTTTCACCTGGTGATTATCTGCAAAAAGTAGATCTCTGTGATATGTTTCCCTGCAACTCTAATATACACGAACTAGTAAAATCAATAAGGTTTCTAGTATGACGTCGAATAGTTTTGGAATTAGGATAAATATGATGTCTCCGGAGCCATTTCTTAATACAGATTTTGAAGAAGTCCAATTTTTCCATGCATTTCGGCAAGTTTGACAGAGTAACTCAGAAACCTATTGACTTCCTTCATTGTAGAAGGGTCTTTGCAATTTTTCAATTGGTGGGTAATACCCATTGGACTACTAGAGAGAATAGAACAAGGAGCTTTTACTCCTATTCTCTTTCTCTCTGTAAGTAGTATATGTGAAATACTGCTTTAAAGTTTTCAAAAGTTAACAGGGATTTTCAAGAATTGGTTTTGTAGGGATTTTGTTTGATTGGCTGGAGGATTTTAACATGATTTGACATCAGTTAAAGAACCATTGGAAAACTGTTATGTACTCGTCGCTAAATTATTGTTATGGACTGGTCGAGAAACTAATAGTCCTGACGCGAGAAGGCGGAAATCAGAAGACCACTAGGTTTGCGATGATACTTCTATTGTCCAAACACAAGGAGACGAAAATAAATGGTCTCACACCAAAGTGGTAGGTAAATAAAGTAAAGTAGTTGTAAAGTAAAGTAGTTCACACAAATTGAAATGCGAATATATATAAAATAATTCAGACAAGCGTGGGAAAAATCATTAGACAGTCTTAACATGAATGGCTAATTATAATGGAGTGTCGATCCAATTATACATAGCGAATATAGCAGACATGCCAACAAACATATATGGATATATGTCACCAAGCCACGGACTGTCAACAAACACTCATATTATATATAATATAATATAAGGAGAATACACATTATTAAAGGAGACAAGTCCATACAAGTGAAGTGGTCACAGACTAACCGAGCAAACAGAAAGAGAGACCAACATGCACACACACACATAAATATATATATGTGGATATATATCAAAAACCTAGGAGTACTAGGCAACTGTTTCGTTCTAGTTCAGGACTCCTCACTAGCATGCAGCCACACTGAACTTGGGACCTTTTGGTTACAAGGCAAGTCCACAATGGTCAGTCCATGAATTCCTACTTCTACTAATTCATGATTTCAGCGCCACCTCTAGTCAATGTTATCTCCGAGCGCTTGTCCTCCCGACTTAGTGGACCCCACTGGCCACGACTTCTCACTGGAACTTTGTTCTGTAGAGTCCCAAATTAGGACGAAACAGCCTCCCAGCACTCCCTGGTTTTCAGTGCTTTAAAGTTGTTTGTATATATGTGTGTGTGTCTGTGTTTTCCTTTGTTAGCACTGCTTCAATGCACCATCATCATCCATATATATATATCAGCTGTGCTTGTCCATAAATGGGGATAGTTGAGATGGGAGGGAGGTTGGACATGACGTAGATGATAATATTCTTTATATTGAATGACTATTACAGCTCTGTTATGCATTTTCTACAACACATCCTCTCCCTCCCTGATTATTCATGGTACCATTTTTATTCTTTCGTATTCTTTATTTCTTTCTTTCTCTCTCCTCGCAGTGATGCAATTCTTAACTTTGATTTTTTTTCTGCACTTCTGTGTAAATCAAATCTGGTAAAATATTTTCCCATGTCAATATGCCTTTTCTTTGTTTGTTATTTCGTTTAAATTAATTATTAATTTAACATATTTTTATAAATTCTGTTTGAATTTAACCTTTTTTGTTCTTGTTCTTGTTATTATTATAAGTATTACTTATTCGTTCCTTACGTTGAGAGTGAAACACAGGGCTTCAGCAGCACCTTCCCCATTTGGTATACTCTCTCTGTACTAGGTCGTTATTTTCATCTGGCTTCACGGCTGCTGACACGCTTTATCCACCTCTTCACATGATCTTCTCTATGATTTAGTGCACGAGGATCAAGAAGAGCATCGATGTTTGTAGGTGACTTTGTCTTACTGCTGTCTTCGCTTCAAAAAAAAAAAACTTCACTGATGTATCTGTTGTAAATTATTTGGTATTTGGCATCATCACACCACTGTTGAATGAAGTTTATAAACATCCATGGTACTTCAGGGTTTATCCTATCGAAGGCCTTTTCAAAGTCGATAAAATTGAAGAGCAGAGTTTATTGTCATTCTAGACTGTGTTCTGTGACGTTAGATAATATTGCAATGTGATTAGTCCACGCCTTGTTTTTTTCTGAGTTTAGACTGTTTCAGCTGAACTGAACTCTTCCATCCTAGGCATCTGTCAGCCTTTCCAGGATGATGTGGCATAATATTTTGTTTGGGGTGGACAGAAGCATGTTTCCGTGCCACTGCTTTTATAGACATAAGTGGCCATTCTTTGGCTACAAGTCTTTCCTATTTTTTTCATGACCTGGTGATTAGTAATGACTTAGATCAAGCCCATTGTTTTGAAAAATCAAGCTCAATGTACCTACCTGTTTGAAGTATGAATATTTAATAGTAATTACTGATGGAGTTATAATTATCATTCTGAGCTGTTAGTGTTTCGAAAGTTATGTAAGGGAAATTTGAATCAAATTTTAAATTTTGAACAAATGGAAGAATAACAAATATAGCAAGGGGATATAACCTCATCTTCAATATGCTACCACCATGGCAAGACATGAAAAGACTAACTGTCTTTGATCATAGATGCCTGCGTTCTATCTCTCGTGTGAAGTGGTATAATAAGGTGAGTAATATTGAGGTAAGGCATTGGTCAACTGGTAGGTAGGTGTGAGGGAAAATCAATGGACGATTGAGATAGATGGTTAGTACATGTGTTACGTATGGCTAGCCATCGCCTTCCTCGACAACAGGAAATGCTAGCTAATATAGGGTGGATCAGGTTGGTCAAACCAAAACATGGCTTCATCAGTCAATGAAATCTACAACAGTTAGCTTGAGGCAGTCACTCAGGGAGGTTTAGACTGTGTGGTTGGGATCCTAGGGATTGTAAAAACCAATGAAGGCTGGAGACAATTGGTGATATGGCTCAAAATCGTTCTCAATGGCCGGCGCAGATGCATCCACTCTTTGTGACTTATAATATCTGTGTTTTTTTTTTAATCTCTCTGTGCTCTCTTCTCTTGCTTTTTGTGCTGAGTGGAGTGTGGCGACTTGAACTGCTGCACATCGGTGCAAAGTTTTACGTTGAAACTGGTCAGTCAGTCAAACCATGACAACGAACCAAACAAGACCTCGTTACTTAACAAATATGCGGATGAAAATGAAGTTGGATCGGACACACATTCAGAAGACCGATGAATGAAATTATGCACTAGACTATTGAGTGCAGTCTGAATGAGAAATGACAATTTGGGCATGTGTTCGAGGGTGACATGGGAGAGATCGTCGTCGTCGTCGGAAGGAGGAGGAGGAGGAGATGATAACTTATGGGTAATCATGGTACCAGCTCAAGAGGACTGCAGACGACAAGATGAAATGGAGATATATTGTTGAAGCTCTATCCGTTCCCCTTAAAATCTAATGGGAATGATTATAATACTGTGTTCATATGTTCGTATTAAACGAACTTTTTTTAAGACAGTGAAAAGTGGACAAATACTCATGTCATATTACCTCCAAGTGTGTCTAAAAATTTACACTATCCGTGTTAAAACAAATGCATTGGAAGAACAGACAGAGGGTACTAATCAGTGCAACTACGCTCGATTTATTAGACGCTGGTCATATTATGGACAATCTAAAAGCGTTTAGAATAATTGGCAAGCAAAAAAAAGCTAAATCAGCTCAGATTTCGTTTTGAAGAAGTAACTGCCATCAAGTGGTTAAAGTCAAATCTATGCAGGTAAAATGTTACGCAACAGAGCCAAAAAACAAGTACGAATACCAGGGTAGTAAAATATTTATCATGCTATTTATCATTCTGTATACACAGATTGAATTAAAATCTTTTGATAGCAATGGCTTCTGCAAAATGAAGTAAGCAAAGTTTTCTTTGTGTACTGATTTCTCTGAAAGCTTGCCTACTTTCCCACTGTATGCCCAGTGTCAGTCAGGTGTCTGGCGATTGAAATTTACAACATTCCACTGCTTTTCATATAAAATCCTTTTGGGGATACGCTCAGAAAATCTAATATAAACTCTCCTCTCGGTCCTTCGTATGTACATGCTACCGTACATACAAGTTAATCGGTAAATGTAGTTGGAGCTGACATGATTTATTAGTGCTCACGCATATATTTGTCATAATATTATTCAAGCTTTTTTCTTCTCTTATTTTATGTCATAGAATTATAGGCACATATTATACTGGTCGTTTGGCTGACTTAGAATATAATCATATGAATAAAGTTTGTCATTATTGGCTTACTCAATCAACTAATAATTATCCAGTTTGCCTATCAGATCTTGTTCGTGGAACAGTTATAGAAGGCACTAGTTGGCCAACTATGAAATCTGTGAGTATGATTATCTCTTTGAAAATACCTGTCACTTAATTATTGTATTATTATTATTATTATTGTTTCCTTTAATTCCTAGGGGAAAATAGGGCTTCAGTCGCACGTCTCCATTGCGTTCGGTTCTCTGCCAAAGTTTTCACCTCTGCCCACATGCTTTGATCTCCTCTTCACATGACCTCCTTCATGTCACCCTCTCATTGAATACTAACTCGACGCATCCCATTTGGGTTTCACTCGAGCGATGGCCTGGAGTGTATGACCAATCCACATCCGTTTCTTCATGCATATTCGTTGCACAATCGCTTCCTGGTGAGATGGTTGGCTCTCAGGGATACTTGTTGCTGATATTTTCTGACCGGCCATCTGATCTTCAGTGGTAGTGAGCGAATACAGGTGTTGATGAAGGTCTGTAGTTTGTTCGAAGTGCCCATCTTGACTCACCAAGTCTCTGATCCGTATAATAGCACTGACTTCACACTGCAGTTGAAAATCCGGATCTGATTTTCATTTTCATGCTGAGTGCACAGACCTGAGAGAAATAAAAGCTTCCCTTGCTTTCCCGACCCTCGCTTTGATATCCTCGTCAGTTCCGTCCGTCTGTAATTGAAACAATGCTTCCCGGGTAGGTAGGTGAAGGAGGATGCTTCTTTCAGATTCCTCCCATTTATGCTGGCTGATTGTTGTCTGTTGTTGTTGTTGCTGTTGGTGTTGGCCAGGAATCTTCATCACCTCTTTTCTTTTTCTTTTTACTTTCTTCTCTTGCTTTGTGGGCTACATGGAGTTTGACAACTCGAACTGCTGCACATCAATGCAAAGTTCTATGTTGAAACCAGTCAGTCAGTTAGTCATCATCTCGGTTTTCTCTATGTTTACTTGTCACTTAAAATATGTAATTATTTTGCTCTTCATGTTATCAATCATAGTCATCTTCAACATGAAGACATGATCAAGTATATTCAATCAATTCATTTAGAAAATGACGTGTGGGTGATCAAGATCACCGATGGTGGTAGACTGTGTATAGATAAGTGTTAATGCATACTGTTTGTCATCACCCTTAAGAGGAAAAAGGCTGACAATCAAAATGTTATTGATAGACATTAAATTAGAGACATCAGATCTGTTTTCACAAGCTAATATTTCACGGATATATTGCTTCTAATTTTTTTTATGCTAGAGTATAAGGATATCTGTATTTAGACTTTCTGTGCTTAGAAGGGAAGATTAGTCATTGAATGGGATTGTTCAGTAATTTATATCATATAGTGACAAAATCGAAGGTGATGAAGATTTGTGTAACGAGCAAAAAGAAAAAAGCATCAATTATCCATCATCAGTGGAAGAAATCTAAGGGAAGTTACCTCTTTTAGTTGTCTGGGTAGCGTCGTTTCAGCTATAGACGTTAGAACAGATGAAGATATCAAAGCCTGACAGAATTGGAAAAGCAAGACAGACCTTCATTGATCTGAAATCGGTGTGGTCATCTACTGTACTAAGGACAAAGCGCGAGATTCGAATTTTCAACAGTACTATCAAGTTAGTCAGTGATTTTGCATGGTTTGAGGTTTTTCGAGCATCACGAAAAGCATCTTCAACAACCTGTTGAAGAGTTCCATCTAAAGCTGCCTTTGTTTATTAGGAAAGGTCAGATAGTCTGTGGGAAAGGCCAGGAACCCTGGGAATGAAGCAACCAAAAACCTATCGCCCAAAAATAGGCCAAAAAGAATAGGGGTGGATTAGACCTATGCTGAAGACACCGGGCAATCTAAAGGAACTTCTAGATCCATGTTTCGTAGTTGTTGACCGTCGTCGGTGAGATAAGTCTGGAATCTTGAAAGGACCAATGTCCTTTCTGGGATTCTAACCAGCACTAATTATTATTTTCTTTACGAATAAAAGACGAGTGTCACCCAATTTAGATGGAATAAACAGTAGAATGAGTAATTTTCCACATCACTAGTTATGATAAGTATGTTTATCATCGAGTGTTTCCCAGTTTCTAACTATCAAAGTGGTACCATAGCCTTTCATATATCCACTGTAACTACCAATAAGTGAGATGTATACAGAGTAACACCTAACATCTGACATGATTGGGGTGTGCTTCGGGCCTTACCACCAACAGCCTCAAGTCATTGGATCTTAGCAACTGGAGGTCCGCAATTAGACAGTCTTTGCGTGGCTGATTCAGACAAACAGTTAAAGGCTTCTTGCACTTCTGGTGGGTTTCCGTTTGATCACGCGTATCCCTTTGTCAACAAAGTCCTCTGTCATCTAGTATTGCTCGTCGAGGAAGACAGAGACTCGAGATGTGAAAGATATGTCCTAGTCATGTAAATCGGTATAGCTTCAAATCTCATCAGTTGACATTCCTTCTCTACCTAAGACTCTACGTCTAATCTCGATATCAATGACCATATTACATGACTTAGCGCCCCAGACAAGGAGATAACTCATGTTGGTGAATGTTACATGCGCCTTTTGTATCCGTGTTGAGATTCCCTCAACAATCAGTCCATTGGAACTGATGCAATTTCTCAAGTAAATAAAGTGATCAACAGCCTCAGCTGTATCACTTTATACCTTTAAACTTGGCGTCAGTGTAGTCGAGTCTTGCATCATCATCTTACGTTTAACAGGGCAGATTGCATACCATACCACGATTTCTGCTCAAGGTGTTTAAAAGATTCGATATTCTGAGTAAAAATCTTAGTATTCTTTTGCATGCGATTCGCATCCCTTGTCAATTGTAAAATGATGCTCCAGGACTCGTCCATCTAGACTTGAAATGAATGATCCTGATGAGGCTGCTTACGCAACACTTCTGCTTGAAATGAATTCGAATCAAAAACTAATTTTTAGTATTTACATATTTTTATTCCTTTCCATCCCCAGTGGAATATAGGGCTTCAAGCTAGAACTTTGAAGTTTCGGTAGCAGTGGGGTTTATTTTCACGAGATGGGGTCGCTAGCCTCATGCCCAACCCTCCCTCTTTACCAGTCCTATTACTCGCTTAGTGAGCTGAAGGAGTACGTCGGTCGGGGCTCGAACCTCAAACCACTCGTGGGGTTAGTGAGCATTCTACCGCTGTGCCACCGACGCATTTCAGGTATATTAGGTTTCAGCATTTTTGAATACTATTAATTCTACTAGGTTATTGTGAAGAAAATTTTTGATTTTGAATTTGCTGAACGCTGAATTCATCACTATACTAATTGAAAACACATCTTTTGCTACGATGATTAAATTAGCCATCCTTAGCTTAAAGAAAATTTATAAATTATTCTCTCTCTCTCTGGAAATCTTCTTTTTTTGTATTCATTGAAATAAAGTTGGAGACAGTACTTGTCAAGTAGAATTTCATTTTTACCGATTTTAAGGTAATAGGAAAAAGAATGAATGAATGAATGCACCGAATATTTATATATAGCGCCGTGTAATAAAAACAAAGAGAGAAATCATTAAAGTGATTCATTGAAATTCAAGAATTGGCAGGTACAAAAAACGTGGAGTAGTTTGTTTCGCTTCATTATTATTATTATTATTTATTTGTTGTTGAACAGGATTTCATTTCATGTAATGATTAAAAATTGGTTCACTGTTTTTTGTCTAAGGCGGCGTAGCATTGGATTATTATACCTATCAGACAACTTGATAGGAGTTGAGTTCTGTTTCAATATGAGAAACGTGAATGTGATCGCATTGATTGCCATCGTCGCATTAATGAATACATTCATATTCAGATTTCTTTTCATAGAATGAATATAATTAAATAGAAGCATTTTAAGTAGCATAGAACTGAATAAAAATTCTATGTTGTTAGTTATCGTTTCTGCATTGGTTGTTAGGTGGTAGAATACACACCAACTACACCGCACCTGCTCCAGATTTGATCCTCGGCAAAGTACTACAATAGCCTCCCAAGGGATGCAACCGCACGAGTGACCTTGAGCCGATCAGTCATAAAAATGAGGGATTATTGAACAAAAATTACGTATATTTACGTAAAAGGCATGAAAAAACATTAAACAGGGTATTTTTCTCTAATATGAGATAAAAATTAGTTCCAATTATAATGGGGAGTGTCAGTTTTAAATTAAACCGATTTCTATACATGTATTCATCCAGGTGACTAAAAATAACTTGGTTTAGAGAGCTATTTATTGCTGTTATTCTATTTTTTAATCTTCCCCAGAAACCCTCTATTGAATTAGTATGTGTGCCTGTTCTGGGATCGACAAAATCATCGGAATGGTTAACTCGTCGGTGTATATATCCTAAATCCGATAATCGGTTATATCCTCCCCATTCATCCATGTGTATAGTAGTGCCAGACAAAAGGAATCTGTGAATAATAGGCAGAAGAGTGTTGGCACTCCTATCTGGAATAAGTTCAATGAATCTTTTTCGAATTTGGGTGTCATAAATTCCCAATACCCAAACGTTGTTAGCCCTAGCACGCCCGCGATTGTATTTCTTCTTTATAAGCACTGTTTAATCCATGTGAACGATAATGCCGACTGCTCCCAACACTTGTGTAATATTATTCACTTCCTATGATGCTAAATCTCGACAAAATTGAAACCACTGCACTGTAGGGATCAACGTATTTTTCGTCAAAGCCGCAGCTGATCTCACATCGGCAAAGAAACAGTATATTCATCAAAGAAAGTTCCTCGAAGACAGTTAACTGAGAGTGTCACTTATCAGTACGAACACTTGTTCGTTTCCTACACTCCGTTAATTGGTTGATGGTGACTAGCAGTGGAATCCAGGATGCACATTTCGTCCGATTTGGGACTCGTCATCTCGACGTACCTGCATTCCCCAGGTAGTCGGTAATGGTATTCCCACCGAGGCTCGAACCCAGTGCTCATAGTTTCGAAATCCAAAGCTTTATTCACTAAACCACTTAGGTCACGAGAGCCACCTCTTTTGCAGCAGATCATATTAATTATTTAATTCGGTTTTAGGTTTTCCCGCCGACATGTCAACTTGAGACAGAGCACTTCGGTCCAATCAATCAACGGGAAAATCTAAAATTGAATTAAATAATAAATATATATTTCTTGCACTTAGGTTTGAGAATCAGCACTTAGAATCTATAAGCATCAACTTCTCTTGCCATGTAGTCGAGACAATTGGAACTAGTATGAAATATCACACCATTTGTATTACTTCTGAAGTTCCATAGGTAGCAATACATTGAGACATGTGTTTTTAAAAATCCTCTCTTTGTCGTCTTATACAGATTTTACACGAAAAGTGGAGTACGTGTATGATATTTAATTTACTTAATGATCAGTACTAGTAGAGCAGACACGATCTTCAATGATTTTCCTGATTGCAGTAGACTGGATCATGCGACAGACAGCGGGTAGCGAGGAAACAGGCATAAAATGAACTCACACAAAAAGCTTTGAAGATCTGGACTTCGCCGATGATATATGTCTGATTTCCCACAAACTGGAAGATATGCAAGTGAAAAGCAGTAATTTGGCAGAAGAAGCATCAAAGATAGGCCTTCAGGTGAACATAGAGAAAACAGAAGTGATGATGATTTCTGGCCAACAGCAACAGCAATAACAACAGAAAACAATACTCTGAGAAAACAAACCATCAGGTGACATCACACGACAGGGTCTCTCTCTCGAGTGGAACCCGAACGGGAAGCGGTGAGTTGGTCGTCATTGCGAGGATGACTTGGAGGAGGTCATGTGAAGAGAAGATGAAAGCATGTGGGCAGATGTGGAGTCAGATGGAAACATTGGCAGAGAACCGAACGCAACAGAGACGCGTGGCTGAGGCTCTACGTTCCTGTAGGAACTAATGGAAACAATAATAGTTGCGCAGGCATGGACAACAGTCCACTGTTATTTCAGTTATGTCATTAAAAGTGTTGCTCACGTGTTTTTCGCGTGTACATATTCAAGGAGTTGGTTATATTTCGTTCAGCTATATTCCTCCTTGATTTAGTTTAATTTTAAGTAGTTGGGTATACATTTATAAAGTTATATTTGTTATATTCTCACTCAGCGCTCAATTATTTTGCAACTATCCGATCAAATCTTGATCACAGTTCGTATGAATAGTTGGGTATACTTTAACCATTCATATGTTCTTTCGAAGTGTCTAAGTTGTCATTTCCTTTTTCTGTATGTTTATTTGATAATTTAGGCAATTCGATTGAGACCATCTAAAGGTGATATGTTATTCACAGAAGATCCTACCACAGGAACATATGATTGGATTGTTAATCCTCATCTAACGGATTATTTAGTCGGTTCAGCTAGTTTAGCAGCCTTTTCAGGTGATTTAAAAAATGAGTAGTTTTCTTGTCAATAGTTGATTTCTTTGTTTTTTCAATAAATTGTTCTGTATATTCAAATCTATAGTTAATCATTTACTGTATATTGATTGTTAAATAAGTGAGATAAGACCTAAGTTTACAGGTGGTATGAGAGTATCCATTCACATGGATAAGACACCCAACAGTGTAAAAGTACAGTTTCAATTGAACCATGCTAAATGTCAAAAAAGATTATATTAGCCAATGGTTGATGACTGCTAATACATTTTTCATCATTATTAACATTACTTTTCAGCTTTTTTTTGGATATAATTCTGACTTGCAGCGTTTACGTAGGATAAAAGTCTCTAATAAGTCATATAACAGAAGTGGCTTTCAGCATTCGTCATATAAAAATGATTAACAAATAAGATGTCTTCGGGCGTAGAGTTCTCCAAAGTAGTTTCTTCTACTTGAGGTGCAAAAGGAAAATTGTGAGTAAAGAGGATGCTCAGGGTCAGATAAAATAAATTTTACTGATTTCTTTTATTGCGGTGAGAGCTGGCTGCAAGCCAAAATTGTAGACGTCAATGTTCTCATCCCAAATCAGGGTTATGAGAAAAACAATAACTAAGCTTAACCTTGCGGCAACCACCAGCCAATCACAGTTGAGTTAACGTGTGGAAATATGATTCTCAGATGTATGGCTTGGTTTTCTGAGGAATGGACACAAAGAGATAACAGAATATCCTTCAGCGAGAAAACAACTAATCAGAAGACGCTTCTTCTCCGCTGACAATAATGCACATAAAAATCTATAAATACCACTTGATTTTCTCAACAAGCAATCTGTTTTCTGGCCCTCGTCTTCTGTTACTGCAGTATGAACTTAAATGTTTGACAACAGTGACATTACTGATGCACTGAAGCTCCAAAAACACTGTAACTGTTGGAAATGGATGGTTGAAGGGTGCATTGAACCTAGGTTTTGTGCTAGTTAGCACTCGTCAGCAAGGCGTATCTACAACCTTGAAGGAACTCATGTCTCAGAGATGTTACCATTGAGCTATTCAAACTCGCGGTTAACCTCCTGTAGGACTGTAATGTATACTGCGATTAGACAGTAGTTATTAACTAGTATACTGTGTCTGGTCCTGCGTTCGGTACAGGCTGAAGTCTGTCAGTCAATTCTATCAGCCTTGCTAACGTTTGCCAACTAGCATGAAACCTAGGTCGAAAGCTTTCTACTGATTTCCTCCTACTATCTAATATCAACAATGCAAAGTGCACTGTGATGGCAAGCCATCTAAAATGGTGGCCATAATGCAAACTTGACAGGTAGAATTCAGCCTGCAGCAAACGAAGGACTAGACAAACTACACTAGTTATTAACTTGTGTCCAATCAAAGTAAATAATGTATTTATTTGTCAAATGTAATGTCATTGACAAACAAATTAAATAATAATACCTTTTTTAATTATTATCCTAAAGTTGTGTTGCTCCGTAATACATTAAATCAAGACAGCGACTACTTTTATCCAAGCAAATAATACCTTTAGATATCTGTCAATTTTTTCATTTATCACGCCTAATTTATGTATTATCACGTTTGAGAAAGAAATACTATTTTATAAAGCTGAATGCTTTTTCCATTTTCAGCTTACCTTATTCTACATCGAACTAATTTGGTAGAAAATTCATCCATGCGTTTAATTTCAAAAGGATCTGTTTATGCCTATCGTAATGAAAATGGTAAGTGGTTTGTAATATGAATGTTGGATATCAATTTTTCATTTTGTTCTGATTGACATGAATCTGTTGTTACTGTTATTTAGTTTATATTGTACTCAATAAAAACAGATGTGTATTTCTTTTGTCAGTTTTGATGAACACTTATCAAGGTAACTTTGTTTTCTCCATATTAGTTTGTTTTTATTAGATGTATCACACAGCGAAACAGTATTATTATTGACTGGATAACACAGTTTCAAACAAAATTTATTCGTGTTCATAATCACCTCATCAATTATCATCACACGACTTTGAAACTTGAGTTTTATTGTTTTCTTTGTTCTCTCCTATTTGTCGTAGCACGGGTAGTAGAATTTTCTAGATATCTGGGACAGGTGTTGAATCATTCCTGTTACACGTATTCCGTTTCAGTTGATTCAAAAAACAAGGCTTCTGTTATCAGTCTCCCCGTATACCCTGTGACGTCAGATTTTAAAACTGTCATCCTATCCCATCCTATTGTGTGGTTGTGTGTAACTGCATGCAACGCTACAGCTGAACTGTTCTCCAGATTTCTTGTCTTATTCGGGTCAACCAATCTAGATTTTGCTAGGTTTTTATGTCCCGCTAGTCTGACTGCTCCTGTTCTAATAGGTTGACCTATGTATTTGACCTGACAATCATTTCAAGGGGGGGTATTAGATAAACTAAATTGTTTTGTTTAATTGGCTCCACTGGCGGGATCCTTTAACCGACAAAGCTTGTTTCAAATTGAGTTTGCGGGTTTGAATGTCAGTCACATTTATTTCTGCCTTGCTAAGAATTTTGCGTAAGGTTTCCGAGTTTCCTTCTTTGTATGGGAGGAAGTACTACTGATGATTTAGATTCCTTATTGTTGGTGTCGTCATTAATATTGTTATTAATATTATTATTATTATTATCATCATCATCACTATTATTATTATTTTTAGTATTACTCGTATCATTATTATTATTATCATCACTATCGCTACTATCATTATTTATTTTATTTTTGCATTTCCTTACATATTTCCTGACTAATTTATCCGGGTAATTATTAAGTTTCAAGGCTACTTTTATGTGTATCACTTCTTGTCTTAGATTTTCCTTGGTACTACTTAGTTCTTGTGCTCTATCATGATATGATTATGGACAATAAATTGTGTTTGAAACCTTGTCATCCAGTAAATAATACTGTTTCACTCACTGTGTGATACATCTAATAAACAAACTAATTAATATGGAATTATTTACTACCACAGTGCCCAAGTTTTACACATATATTAATGTGACTTTGTTTTCTCTTTTGGTGATGTTGTTTAGTCCAAAGTTCTTAATCCTTTACATACATTGATACATAAGTGTTGGTGTAACGGTGCAACACCGTAGTATTGTTTCAGTTGCAGCATTGTTTCTTTAGGAGAATAATATACATGATATTTGATGGATGGTGACTAGTAGTGGTATCCAGAATGCGTACTTCGTCTGACCTGGTACTCATCATCTGGATGCACCTGCAATTACTAGGTAATGATGGTGTTACTACTGAGCTGTGAATCCAGTACCCACCATAGAGTTATCCAATAGGCCGCAAAAACCATCTGTTGTTAGAGACGACCGGTGCTGACTTCCAGTAACAGCGGGAATTCCATCATTCACTTGGAATGCAGGTTCATCCAGATGACGAGCTCTTGACAAGACAAAATGAAGGTCTTAGATTCTACTGTTGACCACCATTCACCAAATAACAACATGTCAATCCTCAGAGATCGTCAAAATGTCTGTACTAGGAGCTGATACTTCAACGGAGACTGATCATTCCATCTTAATATAAAATGAATCAACGGGAAATACTAAATTAATACAAACAAAATGAACAGTTTTAGCCAAATGTTTGTCTTTTTATGCTTTCTGTGGTGTTTCATAGGGATATTTGAATTTCTGCTGGCCGCAACTTAATCCATCAATCCTCAATTTCAGGAAACAGCATACTAATTACCAAATCTTGCCAGTAGCACCCGCCGTATTTCTTAATTTCTTTAAGCATATTCTGACCTTTTCTGTGTGCTTATTTTTTGTGATTTATGATAACCTTTGTATACTGTTTAAGTTTTGTGAAGCCTTCTACTACTTTTTTTTTTACAAATACTAAAATTTTCCTAGTTATATCGGTATTATTTCTGGGAATCTTATTTCTATCATTTAGGAATTTTTTAATTATTTTATTCTCTGAAAAATATGTACAAATGTTCAAAATGGTTAACTAGTTGATTACATCATCTTACGAATCCCTATAATTAATGTTATGTTATGTTAATGTTATCGCCAGATTGGAATACCTCAGTTGTCTGGCAGTTTAATGAATTAAAACAATTAGTCCCTTTGATAAATTTGAATAAGGCATTAATGTCTTATTCAAGTTTAGTGAATGTTCTTCAGTAAAATGTATACATCCTTGTCCGATTTCATTGACTACTGGTCAGTCATGGTCAGTCCTTGTATTCCTTGTTTTCCGGTTTTAAGGGGAGCAACCCACAAGGTCGCTTCTCTCTAAACTTTATCTTAATGTAACAATTCCTTTCTCAGGCGTGAGGCTAGCTACCCCACCCTGTAAACAAAGTTGCTACAGAAACTTCAGCACGATGAGTCTCCTTGCGCCAGTCATGGGTGCAAATGTTTTCGAAAGTATTCGAAATGGTTTTTCAAAGACACTGTAACAATCATAAGCGTTTATTTTGATACTCTTCACAATGAAATTATCATTATTTCAGTTGGTATGGTATATTTCAGGGACTTTGATTGGACACCAGTAACTAGTGTGACGTTTCTAGTCCTTTCTTTGGTGCAAATTGAATTTTATCAGTCAGGTTTGCAACGTGGCTACCATTCTAGGTAGCTGGACATCACGGTGCACATTAATTTGATGATATTAGATGGTTGGAGGCAATCGGCCACAGGAAGCCTTGGACCTAGGTTTCGAGCTAGATGGCACTCATCACACCCACTACAGTCCTACACGAGCCCAAATAGCTCAGTGGTAACGTCTTTGACTGTAGCACTGGTTGACGCGGGTTCGAATCTTAGAAGGGACATGAGTTCCTTTAAGGTTGCAGATACGCCTTGCTGATGAGTGCCAATTAGCACGAAACCTAGGTCGAAGGCTTCTTGTGGCCGATTGCCTCCAACCATCTAATGTCATTTCAGGGACTTGTTACCTTCGATTAAATTTTGATCAGTAGCTTCTTCTTGTGATAAGCACAGGTAAGTAGTCGTGAAAATACTATCCAGTGACTTATCTTGGTTCCAGTTTTGATAACAGATTGATATCACACTAGAAAAGTACCAAATACAAGTAGGTACTGGACAGCCGTTTCTGAAGTACGTACCCTCTGACATTCGAACCCAGAACTTTCTGGTTATAAAGGCACTTAGTAAACCATTCAGCTACCGGGACCTGACCTTATGGCCCATGAATTCCAACTTGTGGCAATTCACTATATATAATGAAACCACCAGCCAGTGTCATTGGGGAGTAACCGTCCTCTTACCCGACTTGATGGACCCCACTGGCTACAACTTCTCACTCGAACTCCCTACAGGCAACTTCTTGCATAGAACCGGTCACTAGCTAGCAACAGATTAATTTCCAAGTCTTCGTTTAAGGAGCTTTAATTCGTTATAGGTTTAACCGTCCGGGTTTTGGACGAAAATATCATTTTGACTCCATCATATATCGAAACTAATTAATGTATGTATATTTCTCATTGTGTAGATGAGATGATTAATTTGTAAAACGTCATTTCATCCTAGACAAATTTTTCCGTGGATTTTAATTAACTATTTATCATGGTTTTTTATTGCCAGTGGATTCCACTTCATCCAATGATGACCAGCCTCAAGCCGATGGGAAATCACCATTTCAACAATCTAAACAGGTTAGTAGTCCATTCATTCTTCGGAATATTTTTAACAATAAATAATTTAATGTTTTGTATTGCATGATACACATTTGTTTCAATTGAATGTAATTATTAGAGAAATTAATTTTCGCGTAATTGAGGTGTACTACTTAAATAATGTTTGAGTATTATATTACACCTGGTACAGAATGAACTGTTTTTTGTTCTTGTAAAAACGTTTTCTTCTCGGGTTTGAATCTCATTTGGGGAATAAGTTGCGTCAACGCTACCATGAAGGTCACCTTGTCGACGAGTACCAGAGTACACGAAACCTAGGTCAGACAGAGTATCCAACCGACTATTTCCAATCATCTAACATCAATATTCAGAGTTCACTGCGATGGTGAGCCAGCTTGTTTAGTGTGACCACAATGTAAACTTGACTGATAGGATGTAGTCCTCACGATCATCAAGGAATAGGCTATATTCAATGTAGTTTTCTGTTTAATTGTTTATCATACGAGAGATTAATTTTTCTGTAACTGCACTGTAAATGACATCTAGATTGATGTTAAACGTTCTTGTCACTAACTTTGAAGCTCAGTTGGCACAGTATACACTTACTGAACTTGTCGTTCTTTTCCTTTCTTAACCCAGATATCGATCTTGGAGTTGTCTAAGAATTGGAATCAATGTGAAACCGGCTTTCATGTTTTAGTTGAAGATTTATTCAAATTTTGGCAAATTTATCAACCTGAATGGTCAATTAAGTAAGTAATATTTGAATGCTTTGTAATTTTTATTATGTTACCATGTATTCTTTAGTTTCACCACTGATAAGAATTTCACTATGTAAGTCATTGGTTCAATGGTAGAATGCCAACGAACCATTCAGCGGGTCTAGGTTCGATTTGTCTTCCGATGCATTCTTAAATTCTGTATAGCTGATAATAATCATGAGGCTAATGGTTAATCCTATCCTGTTAGAAAATAAAATCGCGACTGAAATTCTCAAGGGTGAAGGTTAAAAAACAGACGCTTCTATTTATGAACAGAAGGCACTGACAAGTGTTTGTTCCGTTACTGTTTTGTATCACTGCGCCTGGTATTATACACGTGAAGTACTAATTTGACTTAGGGACTTCATCTGAAGTATTTCATTGGATATTTTTCTAGCATTTTGGATACATTATTGTAGATGCACGAGAAATACTGCTATCCATAAATATAGATGACTTGTAGTACTCTTGACACTTGTTAGTTTCCAACATGTTTGCGGGTTTGTCTAAACAAAAGGCGTATCTTTCTTTATTAGTTTTTAATTTTATTCACTAAAGCACTTCGTGATGTGACAGGAGAAATTTTCCAGTAAGAGTTGGGGAAAATGGCTTTACATGATAAAAGCTGACCAAGTTAAAGATTAGCTGTCTAGGAGTGAAACCAGATGAAAGCCACTACATGCTTGGGTAAGTGATGGAAAAGTGTGAGAATATCAAACGGGGATATCTGGTTAGTTTAGGGAAAGATTGAAGTTTGGGTTAGGGTAGGAATAAGTTGGGTTAAGGTTAAGTTACACGGAGATTCTAACTGTTTTGATAAGGAATAGATTACGGTTATTGAGGGAAAAACAAAGGTTAGGGTTGAGTAAAGGACCCGTATTCTGCTTTTGAAATCGATTGTTCATCTTTACAAAGTAATTGGTGCGTTCAAACTCCTCGACAGGTATTCTTTAATTTTGTCAGAAAACTAACCTTTAATTATACTCCATCAGAATATATCAGTTAAACTCTTTTGTGAGACAGTACTCCGCCGTTTATACTACTATTCAGTAGTATGATGTTAAATTATGCTGTTTTTAACCATGATTGTTTGGATTCTACTTCCGATTTAATTAGTATACTATGGTGAGTAATATTGAGGTTAGGCATAGAGTGTTACATAAGAAAGACAAGTCAGTTGATGAGATCGTGAAGCTACATCAACTGTAGATGGCTAGGACACGTGCTACGCATGCTAAGCCACTACCTCCTTAGTCGAGTAATGTTAGCTGACATAGAACTAGGTTGGGAGGGAGTAAGGGAACACTAAACGAAAACTTCGCATTAATCGATGAGGTTTTTGTCAGTTTGTTTGAGCCATCCACGTAAAATGGTGTAGGCAGCTTGATTGGAGTCTTCGGGATGTTAAGAACAGATGGCTATTCACTTTATAGTCTTAAAGATCCATTGAATCTTCATGTTCAGTGCGTCGGTAGCACAGCGGTTAGGACTCTCGCAGACCATGCACACGGTCTGGGGTTCGATCCCCTGCCGACGCACACCCGATATCTGTGGTCGGCCTGCAAAATTTGGGCTACCGATATCACATGCTGAAAATTCCATACTTGTACCAAAAATAATGTGTGGCATCAAGCTGTAATCAACATAAAAAAACAAAATAAAAAAACAAAGTGTTCTTCCATGTTATTTTTCCTGCTATAAGTTTCAAGTTCATTATACTTTCTTCGAGTTTTATTTTCTTTTGTCCGACCTTGACTGACTGGAAGTGTGTGGGCGTGTGTTACTTTTCGGCTGCCGAAACCGTGGAAGTTGATTGATTCTTCGGGTACCTAAAACAGAAAGAGGATTAGTGTCGCGTGACCGCAGAGCCCAGGGGACAACTGCTTGAAGCCGGTCACACACGGTCTGTGAACTGGTTTCTGGGATTGTTTTCGTATTAGTAAATTACCGCCGGTTACGGATAACCGTAGGGTAAGTCAGGATGTACTGTTGTCGGGGGTGGCCTTTTCTAATCCCCTCTCTCCAGAGTGGAGAGATGGCGTAGCTGGCATGTTGGTCATCTGAGGGAAACACCTCACAACTGTTACATCCCTGTTCTCTAGCAGTACGACTTCGCCCCCATACCCCCAGCATAGTGTAAAAAAATTCGTACACTATGCTGGTAACTGCTTTTACTCTAATCGCTATCCTAACAACTCTCCTGGCAAGGTGGATCATGCAGGAACAATACTTCCAGCCAGTGCAGCTTGTTGGGTCATTACGATATGCAAGCCCGACCACCACGTCAAGGTAGCAGCTATTGGTCGAACAGTCTGACCTTACTTTATAAAAAGTTTTTATGAATTCCTTCTTGAATACTCTTTTTATTATTCAGGTGTTGGTTTGTAGGGATTTGATTGGTTGAAGGATTTCATCATGAGCTGACATGAATTAGAGAACCACTGGAAAACCTGGAGTACTGAACAGCTGTTTTGTCCTAGTTTGGGACCGGCTCTTCATCAGTACGCACCCACCGGGATTCGAACCCAGGACCTTCTGGTTACAAGGCCAGCTCGTAACCAGAAGGTCCTGGGTTCGAAATTTGCAGTGTGGGTGCGTACTGATGAAGAGCCGGTCCCAAACTAGGACAAAACAGCTGTTCAGTACTCCCAGGTTTTCCAGTGGTTCTCTAACTAATGTCAGCTCATGATGAAATCCTGTAAACTCTTCTTATTAATTATGTGAATATGAATATACTTCATAGGCTATTAAATCTCTAGTTTCCCTCCTTCTTCCTTTCTGTACCCTATTTCTTCATTCATATCGTTAATGTTAATGAGATTATCTATGCGGCTAAAGAAATAGTTAACTAATTAATTAATTTAACCCGTTATCCAAATTACTTTTATTTGCGTGTATGTGTGTTTTTAGAATGTACAAAGCTGCCGGTATAGATATGGCATAAATTACATAACTGGCTTCCCCCATTTTTATCATTCATTGATAAAAGTATTTTGAGGTGAAGGGTATCCATCTTTATTTCAAAAGGTTACAATTTCACTGTTGACCAAAATGTCAATCATATATATATATATATATATGTATATATATATAACATTATTATTATATCATCTTTATCATACTGTGTTAGAGAAGGGTAAATACCCAAAGTGAACAAACGTTTTATATTTATTAATAAGGTGAAGAAAGGAAAGTACTTTCTCTTGACAGGATTCATAAATACCACGTGAAATGTATACACGCGCACACACACTTCTGATAAACATACTGTTAACCTCTATGGTATGTGTGTAATGAATCACTAGAAATTTTGCATGAGAATAAAAACACATTTTTTTGTGCTAAATTCCCACTGTTATGAAATGCAGATTTAACAAATTGCTTCAAGTTGGTGTATTCTTAGTAAAATGCAATTATTAGAAATATTCAAAAGAATTTGAATTACCTGTCAGGAACTTAGTCATTCAACGTAGCCTCTAATAATAGTAGGATCTGTTTGTTTTATTTATTTGTGATGGGTTAGGATAAATTCTGTAGTATGCTCTCGCTTCACATGATGCGTAAGTGATTCATTAGTTTATTGCATTGAAATTGAAATGTGGTTACTTGTAGTATAGGTGACCCAGTAGTGTAGAATGTGCAGAAAGTACACCCGTAGACTGGGATTCATTTGCCGGTCAACGCACTTCGAAACCTCGCCTGATTTACTGGCCGGTGGTGTGTCTGAAAAGGAGGGAAAAATTGGGTGTGTCTAACAACCCCAATTCTCACAAAAAGCACAACATTACCACGGGTGAAACTTTAATGCTTGAATGCCTATATTCCAGTTGGAACTTTAAGGAATACAAGGAGACGGAGTAGCTACTTTTTGTATCCCTTAGTTTTAGAATCACATCGTTTCAATATTCATAAGGCATTTAGTTTGAAAAAACAAATGTGACTACAAAAGAATCTTAAAAAAAACTTTTATAAAACCAAACAATCGCCATTAAGATAAATTTGTTGATATTCTTTTATTTGGAATGAATGGAACCTTCCTTCTAACTTTTCAATACTGAATGAATTACTGGTTGAGTATTGTTGGAGAGCGTGAACTCATACAAATCTGCCGATTGTTTCTGTTTAAAGTGAATACCACGTTTAGAGAAGTAACCTATTGAGCTTAGTTCTTCTGTTGTAAGAGTAGGATTTAGTCACTTTGGTAGAATACAATTCCGTATCACTTATGTTTATCTGATATTGCACACTCTGATACAGTATTAATAACTGGATAATATTTTGAGTACAATTCATCGCTCATAATGATATTCACACGACTAGATTATTATTATTGTTCCCTTAGGTTTTGACTGGAGCATAGGTATTCAACAGCACATCTCCATTTTGTCCTATTCTTAGTGTCACTCTTCAGATGACCGCACAATTGCCTATAATCTCTCCTCCATGTCACCCTCGGGAGCCAAACTGGTCATTTCCCATTGAGGTTCTGTTCAATCGATTGCCTGGTGCGCAAAATCATTTGGCAGTCTCCTCAACATGTAGCTGACCCATCTCCATTTCGTTTATATTGAGCAATAGATTCTTGGTTAGTTCGTCTACTGTCAAAGTTTCTTGTTGATGATTCTTTCTGATTGACCATCTGAGTCAGAAAAGGAAGTTGTTAATAATAGTTTTTAGTAACCTGTTAGAAATCCCCTTTGTAATGCGGTCACCAAGTTTCTGACCCATATAGAAAAAGTGAATTACTTAGCATTGGTGTTGAAAACTTTATTCTTCTTCTTCTTTGTGTTGGCTAAAGAAGATTTCTAAGTTGATTTCATATTGATCAAGGTGTATCTCACCTTTCTGATTCTAACTGCCTTTGACATCTTCATCTGTTCTGTCTGTAGTTGAAACGATGCTGCTACCTAGATAAGTAAAGGAGGTAACTTCTGTCAAATCTCTCCCGTGGATGGTGATCGCTGCTGCTATTTGATGTTGTTGTTGTTGCTGTTCGTTGGTCGTCTTCATCACTTCCGTCTTCTCTATGTACACCTGCAATTCTGTCTTCGCTGCCTGCCAGCCTCTTTAGCCAGTTTGTTGGTTTTCGCCTGCAAGTCTTCGAGTATATGAGACATTAGACATAAATCATCCACACACGAAATCCAGATCTTCTAGAATCTCGTCATCGGTGGTTCAGCGTATTCCCGCTTCCTCGCTCCCAATGCACAGTTTGACGCATAATCCTGTCCACCATAATTAAGAATATCATCGGTGATTATAGACAACCTTGTCTTACTCATATATATTCAAAGGTTTCATTGAGATTTCTGTTTTGGTTCACTTGACACTTGGTATTGACGGTTAGCTGTTGAATGAAGTTGATGAAGATGTGGGCGTTGCACGCCATAGTGTTGAAGTAGTTTCCAGATTACTTCTTGGCCAACGTTGTTAAGTTAGAAGTTTGACTTCCATTGTATACTTTGCTCGATAATGATTGTGATGCGTGGAATTGCTATTTGATCTCCACATGACTAGATAACTAATTTGCCTTATTCTCTGTTGTTCTTTTATTTTAATTTTCCATGCGTATTTGGAATAGGTGTTGCATACAAATGTTGACTTAAAATAATTGCCAACATTTGTATTAGTACTAATTAGGATTTAAATTACATGCAAAGTATTTAGAGATGTTTCTCTGGAAGTGTGTTGAGGTGGGGTTCAAAATAAAAATTTGCTTGATGTAAACGATGAAAAGTGTTAGCATGTTATCATGCTTATGTTTTTGCTCACTTCAATTATAGTTGTATACGATAACATACTATGTGTTCTATGAAACTCAAGTAGACTGACTGACTGGTTTCAATGTAGAACTGTACACCGATGTACAACAGTTCAAGCCGCCACACTTCACTCAGCACGCAAAGCCAGAAAAGAATAAGAAAGTAAAAAAGAAACGCAAAATAGAGATAGTAAAGAGATGTATCAGGCAAAAAGAATAGCAATATTGAAGAACAGTATAGTTTTATTGGATATTATGTCACAAGGAGTTGATGCATCTATGCCATTGAGAAATGATTTTGAGCCATATCATCGCTTGTCCCCACCTATTGATTTTTACTGTCTCGAGGACTCCACCAAGGAGATCTACATATTCCTACGTGACTTCGACTAAAAGTCGGGCATTTGATTGACTGATGAAGCCATGTTTTGGTTTGACCACCACTAGCTCTTTTCCAACCTGATCCACCCAATGTCAGCTAACATTGCCCGTCAGTCGAGGAAGGCGATAGCTAGGCAGGCATGCGTAACACAGTCGATGTAAGTCAGGTGGACAGAAAATAAGACTGTATATGATGTGTTCTACAATTATTCCAAAGATATATGTATGTGTACTTCATTGTGAACAATTTCTTTTTGTTATCCATTTTTGTTTTAGATTAACATATTCTCAAGCTTCCAGTTTATATCCATGTGAAATGTTACGAGCTGTACTACACAGTGACATGAAGTCATCCTCTGGTGGTATGACAATTTCAGTACCTGTAAGTCTATGCTTAACTTTTTTCTGGATGCTGGTTAAGATAATACTACTCCTTCATTCTTACAATTACTGATTAAAAAAATTTCTTCTAGTTTTGTGGCCATTATTGCATGTATTTAGATTAGTTCATAAAAAGTGGTGTTAGCCTGACCGTAGTTACTTATTAGTTTCGCTAAGTAAACTATTTTAACCTCTAAATATGTGGACTGTATTAAAAAAAACAATAATAATTATAGGCTGATGTTAACTGTCAATATGATATTGAAGTTCTGTTCCGTGACTAGTTGACTGAATAACTGAATTTTCTGTAGTTTGGTTTGTAAGGGTTAGTTATGTTTTTACGAGTTGATCACGGATTGATATCAGTTAGAGAACCATTGAAAGCCAGCATGGAGTACTGGACAGCTGTTTCATCCTAGTTTCAGTAATCATCGGCAGTATCCACCCACTGAATCTTCCATGTGGGACTTTGCACAAAAAAGCACAACAGTTCAAGTCACAGTATATAATAAAAGCATCGGAAAGAAATAGCCAAAAAGCTATAATAAACAGAAATACACGGGAGAGGAAAAAATCACGTAAAGAATAATGAGGAATTTATGGGTCTAGGAGATGCCACCATCGTGGTTCATACCAACAAACTACGAGTTCATGAATTGATATCATGTTTTGGTTTGATCATCCAGCAAATATCGACCACTAAAGATCGCGATAGCTCTGTATTAAATATCCATTTAGTTGAGTATGATTCAATAGATTTTAATATATTAAGGGTTATCACAACTTTTTCACAATTATAGAATTAACAATTTGCATCTAATTCTCACCAGTGGCTGGCTTCAGGATAAAGTTACTTGGAGTTCTGGTGAGAAGTGGTGACCAATGGAGTCCACCCGGTTAACGGTGAGGACAAACACTCATCGATGACATTATCTGGTAGTCGCACTAGAAAACATGAATTGGTAGAAGCTGGAATTCATGGGTTGGTTCTCAATAGTTGAGTGGTCTATGGGCCTGACTTGTAACTGGAAGGTCCTGGGTTCGAACCTCAGTGGATGCGTACTGCTGGTGAGTCCCAAACTAGTAGGAGAGAACAGCTGTCGAGTACCTCCTGGTTTGCATTGGTTCCATAGTTGATATCAACGTGATCAAACTCCTAACAAATCAAACCCCCACAAACATACTATTGAAAATTTGTATAACACTTAATAATAGGTTCTCATTAGAGTTAAAATTTCTGTAAATGGTGAATTCGTAAAGTTTTGTTTCGGAGTCATTAACCTGTTGAATGGCGTACATATTTGATTGTATACATTACAGTAGGGAAGATCCAAGAATGTTACAAAGTCCATTGGTATATAACACTATGGTTTCCATGACAAAGGATGTAGGTTATTCGAATTTTTTGAGTTCATTATATAGTCCCTTCATTTGTATATTTATTGGTAGTGGGTTTGATATGTATCCACATGATGTGTGTTCTGTTTTTGACAGTGCTATGTGTATATGGATCGATATTTCATTATAACTGACAATATGCTTTTGTCTGTTCACTAACTAAATAAACATGTATGACCTTGTTGTCATATGACATTACAACCAATCATGTTAAGACTGTCTTATTGGTTCATGTGTATTAGTCATTTTCATATATACTTTTGTACTGTATACTTGTTCCCACGTTTCGTACACTACGTTCCATTTCACTCACACTCTTGTGTGACATTTATTTTCCTTGTCTGGAAAACACAAGTATCATCGTAAACCTGCTGGTCTTCTGATTTCCCTCTTTCCGCGTCAGGACTATTAACTACTCGACGAGTACATAACATAATTGGCGACGGGGAAAACTTACTATTAACCACTCAGCAGCAGTACATAACAGGGTTTTATCTAGTAAGTGCTAGTGCCATTCTTAACAACCATTTGCAATTCCATGAAGTTGGCTACTAGCCACACCACTCAAATATCAACAAGTGGAGAGGGTTTCGAACCGGTAACTCTCCTGTTCGACAGCAAAACCCCCTAGACCGATAAGCCAAAGTGAATAATAAAATCCGGTTACTTTAAGGAAGTGTCTTTTCTTTCTTGCTTTATCAAACTATCTAGGTGATTTGAAAATGCATCATGAATGTGTTTCTTTTGAGAGTTCATGTATTTCCACCCATAACGTCAATTGAAGTAACCTACAGAATTTTCCAACTCATCATTACAGAGTATATATTTTACTTGGGCGATTGATGTCCTTCTCCACTTGAGTACAAAACTTTAGCTTTGATAGTAATTTACTCTCACTACTATATAAAATGAATTAAAGCATACACTTTGTGTGTGCGTTACCTGCCTCCACTCTTTACTGAATACCAGATATCCAGGAAGGATAAGCCATAAAGAACTCCAACAACATACTAAGTAAGAAACTTTCACAAAGTGAAAATGCAGAAAGAAATGAAGTTGGATTGGATATATGCTGAGGAGACCGTTGAGTGACATCCTGCTTCAGGTCCTAGAGGGGAAACCCGATTAGGTAACAACGTGTTGGGTCTTTGAGAGTGACATGTAGGAGGTGGTATGATGAGGAAGTGAGAGTTAACGGACAGTCGTTAAGGCAGCTAAAAAGGACTGCAGCAAACATAATTTAATCAAAATGTGCTGGTGCTAGGAAACCATGGGAACAGTAATAGTAATAAATCTGTCTGACTAACTTATATTATTTCGATGACTTATTAATTATTATTATTATTATAACTTATTAAATAGTCAGTAGAACAATTGGATCTCGTCTTCCCAACTCACATAAATTATAGTTACAACGTTTTCTCTCTTTTCCTTTCTCTCTACCTTTTTTATGTGCTGTTTGGTTTCTCTCTTCCTTACAAACTCTATCTAAGACATTCTACTTAATTCTTTCACACTCTGTATATCTCGACCATTTTGCTATCGCTTATGCCAGTAAATATGCTAGTAGTATCTACTTTTCTAACACCTTCAGACACTCTGTTCAATTTTGGCTTTGCTAATGACATACCAATATGTTGTTGTCAAAACTGACTGAGATAACTTTAATCTATGCAGAACTTTATTTATTGTTAATGTACAAACTGGATGCAATATTGTAGTGAAATGCTGAGAATTCCATTCTGTATCACATGTACTGTTTTGGAATAAAGCTATTATCTTATCTTATCTTCAACAGCCTATATAAATCACAAATATAAATCATTCATTCTAAACTAACTATCCGATCATACGTGATCAGAGTTTACATAAAATTACTTTGTTTTGAGGATTATTCATAAGTTGTACATAATTATACATGGGATTTTAAAGACAAGACGCACATCCTCTCATTTATATACACATACCTTTGATATTTTAATTTTGATTATTTCTCTTATGAAGTTCGAACCAGTTTGCTGAACATAAGGTTTAAACTTACTTATTTCAACCTCGCTAAGAGTTATACAAGTTGTTTTTTACATATGCTGTATAACTTTTTACTCAGCGCATCTCGATAGCGCAGATGCATCCACTCCTTGCGACTTATCTAGTAAAATTCTATTGTTCTTTTATAATACTGTTCTTTTTGCCTCATATCTCTGTTTACTGTCTCTGTTTTGCATTTCTTTTTACTTTCTTCTCTGGCTTCGTGTGCTGCGTGAAGTGTGGCGACTCGAACTGCTGCACATCTGTGAATCCAGTCAGTCAGTCAGTCAACGCCCAATGTTTGTGGAACTGTTCAGTCAAACCTTGATCAGAATTCATGTAAATTCTTTATTCTTGTTATGATGCAAAAACATTAGTTAAACTCATAGTAGTTTACAGAATTTCATCATGAGCTGACATTGGTTAGAGAACCATTGTAAGACCTGCAGGGAGTACTGGACAGCTGTTTCGTCCTAGTTTGGGACTCTTCATCAGTACGCACCCACCAAAACTTGAATATCATAGTAGTTTAGTTTATTGAAATGAATTGTCAGTATATTGAGGTGACCCTGTTTTAACTCTTATCCATCTTGGTAAGTTCTTGTTGATCCCCATACTCATATTTGAAAGTTGAACAGGTTAATGCGCATGTTATATCACTAAATTTTGTGTATCCTGCATATATTTCCACAGCTCTATCCAAAATATCACGTAATTTCAACAGTTCAAGTTGTTGTTTTTTCATAATTTCATCTGACCTCTTCTTTATGTCTGGATCTTAGTATCACTGAAGGGATTCTATAGAAGCTTTTTCTTTCTCTACATATTCTTCACTAGCGGTATCTTCACACGGAATGCGCTCAGTTCTTTAATAATATTTAAAAAAAGGTAGATGAAAGCCAAAGTTTAATCAGCATTTATTAAACTAAAGAGAAATTAGTTTTGCATCGAATCATTTAATCATCTCATTATCTATTAGTCAACACAGCATAAATGTAAAATAATCGTGTAACTGAAGAAACATTTCCCATTCTTCCTGAGTTATTAAGGCATATTTCAAAAAAATTGCTTTCCAACATTTTCAGTACTAACTAACGTCACTGCTAAATCGTTTACATACTCTGCTGAAAAAAAATCCTCAATGAGGAATAAGTATTTCCAAAACTAGGATCTTTATGTTCTCGATACAGTACAGTGCACTACGGTACACATCAATCCATGTGTTCATATTTTTAAAAAAAATACCCGCCTTCTGTTTTGTGTGCCAATATAATATCAGAAAAAAATGTGATGAATAAATTAATTAACATCTGTGCTAATAATGATAATTATGTACTTATATATATATTCTTCTCCAGTTAATTATTATGTAATAACATCAAGTACACTTTCTGTTGGTAATGGATGACTTCGAAAGTGAAGAAAAACGGTTTCGCACAACACATGCGTACGTGTCTATATATTTGATCACATTCATAGGGTTTCTATTGTTTAGTACAAAAATAATTTGGTTTAAAGATTGATTACAAGGGAGTAACTTGATTGTCGCTACATCGTCTCTTCAGCAGTACGTAC